GATAACGTTTCGACCATATTACTTCTTAAAGCCTTGTTTGGGGTACTACTTTAAAAACACAAAAAGAAAATAAAAAAGAAAAAGAAAACAGGCTTTAAAGGGAAGTTTATTATTTATATATAAACAAGCTGAATTAAAAAAAATAAAAAATAAAAATAAATAAAATAAAAAAGGATGCTCTGTTCTGTTGAAGAAAAAGATAAAGACAAGTTCAGAGACAGAGTAGAGAGAGAGAGAGAAAAGGAGTTAAACAAATCAATTGAGAAAGAGAAAGGAGGAGAATATTGCATCAAAAAATTTAAAGGAAAAAGAAAAAAAATAAGATTTCTGTTTTGTTGGTAGGTTGAAACATCTTTAACTCTGTTCTGGCTATCAACATCATTGTCTCTTTGTGCAGCTTTTACTTGCAAAGCCTTTTTTTTCTCACAGTTTCAGCTTCCAATTCTCCCTCGCTTTCAATCTCTGTCTTTGTACTTTTTTTTTTTTTGCTCTTAGGGTGTTTTGGCAATCTGGGTTTTATTTTGAAGTTTTAATAACAGTGGATAGACATGAAAGGATTGAAAACTTTGGTTCTGTGATCTCTGTTTTTGCTCTGTTTTCTCATCTGGGTTGTTTCAATTGCTTATTTTATCAATGACTATGGAGGAGAAAATGGGTGGTTCCAATGGTGAAGATGGCAGCAAGGACCGGTTTCCAGTTGGTATGCGTGTTTTAGCCGTTGATGATGACCCTATTTGCCTCAAAGTTTTGGAAAATCTGCTTCGTAAATGCCAATATCATGGTTAGTTATTCTTTACTTTTGAATTCTCGTGAAAATTTCTTTTTTTTTTTTGCCAAAGGTTTTCTTTTGAATTTGCAATTTACTCCCAAATTCTGTTGATTTGTTACCTGTTTACTGTTCTGTTCTCAATCTTTAATTCAAACTTCGGTCTTGTACTCAAAATGTTAGATAAATTGTCTTGATGTTTCTTCTCTTTGAGTTTATTGTGTGGTTGGTTAACTTTTCGATACTGTTTCTGTCCGGAAGATCTGTCTGTTGTGTTTTGAAGCGTGCATTTTAATTTGGATCTTTGTAATTGAAGTATGCAAATTTTGACTCTTAATATTGTTAAGACATTGGGCTTCTTTTTGACATATCATGTATGGGTTTTTTGTGCAGTTTCTACAACCAATCAGGCAATTACAGCCCTCAAAATGTTGAGGGAAAACAGAAACAGATATGACATGGTTATTAGTGATGTTAATATGCCAGATATGGATGGCTTTAAGCTTCTTGAGCTTGTGGGGCTTGAAATGGACCTACCTGTAATCAGTAAGCATTACCCTTTTTCCATTTAATGGCACTGAATGATATTCATTTGTTTTTTGCTCTTTTCCCCCCCTTTGTCTTTTGAATAATTTGTGGAATGAATGAACTTTCTTATCTTTTTTCTGATTCCGTGTTCCCTTTTAAGATTTGAAGCTCAGTAGTTTTCTAAACCATAATTATTCTGGGGTCTAAATTTGAATAATGGATTAGAATTGTTTCAGCATGATTTAACATATTTTCTTTCTCTTGATGAATTCAGTGTTGTCAGCTCACAGCGATACCAAGCTTGTAATGAAGGGGATTACCCATGGTGCTTGTGACTACTTATTGAAGCCTGTTCGCATTGAGGAGCTAAAAAACATATGGCAACACGTGGTTAGAAGAAAGAAACCTGACTCTAAGGATCAAATTAATCCCCCAAATCAAGATAAGGCTCGGAGAGGAACTGGAGAAGCTGGTCAAACATCGACTAGCAGTTCTGACCAAAAAGTCAATAAGAAGCGAAAGGACCAAAGTGAAGATGAGGAAGAAGAGGGTGAAGATAATGAACATGAGAATGAGGACCCTTCAACCCAGAAGAAGCCTCGAGTTGTTTGGTCTGTAGAGCTGCATAGGAAGTTTGTTGCAGCTGTCAACCAATTGGGTCTTGACAGTGAGTTTTCTGCTGTTGAGATTAGTGTCTTATATGCTGACAGTGTGATCCTCATGCCACTGCATTTTTAACTATAGTTTTTCTTTTCTCTTTATTCAAATGCAGAGGCCGTTCCAAAGAAAATTCTTGACCTTATGAATGTTGAAGGGCTCACAAGGGAAAATGTAGCAAGCCATCTTCAGGTAAACCCCTTTCCTCTGTTCTTTACTCTCTGCATTATGTTTCCTATATATTGCCCTTGCATGTTAAAGTTTTAAGTATACACGGGATCTAGGTAAGAGGTTGCTGGTTCTGTAGAAAATTAGATGCTCTGTTGACTAGCTGAATAAAATACAGTAGTGAATCTGGTGTGTACAAAAGCATCACTTACCATAGGCTCGTTATTACCTTCTATTTAATTGGTTGTACTAGTTTGTAATAGAGAGTTTCCTTACTGTTCTACTCGTTAGAATCAGCTCATAGTTTATGAAGTTATTGCAACTCTAGCTCAAGCAGGTAAGAGCTAGGCTGGGCCATACACATGGGGAAAAATGCATATACTTAAATGATGACGTTTTATAAAAATGTGCAGTAACAGGGTAATTGTCTCCCCTTTAAGCTTACTGTCTTATGTTGTCTTGCAGAAATATAGGCTTTACCTGAAAAGACTCAGCAGTGTTGCAACCCAACAAGCAAACATGGTTGCTGTATTAGGCAGTAAAGATCCCTCTTACTTGCGCATGGGTTCACTGGATGGGTTTGGAGATTTTCGCACATTGACTGGACCTGGAAGGCTTTCGAGTGCTTCTCTATCATCATATCAACCGGGTGGAATGTTTGGTAGACTGAATTCCTCAGCTGCTTTAAGCCTACGTGGGATATCCCCTCGTGTAATTCAACCGGGACATTCTCAAACCTTGAACAATTCCATCAATGGTCTTGGGAATATCCAGCCAGCTGTGTTACCTTCAAACCAGAATCAAAATGGAACTTTGTTTCAAGGGATCCCAACATCAATAGAGCTCAACCAACTGTCGCAGAACAAGTCCACTAACCACTTTGGAGAATTTAATCGCGATAATGATCCAAATGTTTTTGGTGTTGCCACTAACTTCCAAGATGCCAGAGTGACGGTTGGTAGCTCGAGCAATTCTCTGTCTACTGCCTCAGGCAACCCTTTGTTGTTACAAGCAAACACACAACAGACGCAATATAGTGGTGCATTTGGAAATCATTCGTCTCTTGGTGTGACATCACTGAATCAGGAATCATTTGACATGGATGTTTGTGGTTCTTCTAATTTTCTTGATCATGGTAGACGCAATGAAAACTGGCAGGGCACAGTTCAACCATCCAATTTCTCATCAAGTTCATTGTCAACAAGTGAAGTTTTCAGTTGTGAGCAGTTGCCGACCAATAATCTTCAAGAAAACATCTCTTGGACACGCTCTCACCTTAGTAACAGCCCTATTGATCTTTCTTCTTCCATGGCAAATTCAGTACGTTTGGAGGACTCTAGAGGAGACGTGCCATCCCAAGTTGGTCTAAATAATAATGTCATTCAGAATATAGATTACACAGCAAAGCAACAGTGGGGAGATCGCAGACATAATTACAATGAAAATTTGAATCATTCATTCAGCAGGGTGGACTCCCTGGTTTCTGCTAGTGGGTCTATGATGGACCGAAGCAATGCCCTCAGCACTAAAGCAACTGATGTTTCTTTGTTCAGCCAATTAAGTAGTGATGCTCCTTATGTCTTTCAGCACCCCGAGGGTGAGAAATCAGCTTTTGACACAAAATTGAGGTCCAATGAGGACTTCCTCTTCGAACAGACAAAGCCACATAATGGTTTCAGTCAAAATAATTTTGAATCTTTGGAGGATTTAATGAGTTCCATGATTAAACCGGTATGACGAGAACTTTCTTTGCCTCTGTCAGTTTCATTTTTTATGTTTTCTTTTTCTTGTCCATGTGTGAGGTTCTGTAAAGCACAGTGGGCATAATAGTTTGCGCTATGTAGTTAGGCATAGATTAGATAAAGATATAAAGCTTATTTCCTTAACAAGTATTATGTGCCTTCCCCATGCTTACATCTTTCTCCGCTAGTTAACTATAACAATTAGTGCCAAACAGTGAAATTCGTGTATGCTTAAGAACTGTGAAAAATGTTCAGTTCTCTAAAGTACAAAATATGTACAGGATAAGTTTTCAAGTCTCCAAAAGTTGAAAGAATGGCATTCTTGTTATCCCAGGATCTAACTAGCAGTGATTGGCAAAATAAGTTGGGACTGGTTTGCCTCTAGTTGAGACTATTTAATTTCCTTGAAATGCAACACGTAAGAAAAATGATTATGATTGAGCCTGGTTTATAGTTTAGCTTTTGTAGGTTAACTTCCTTTTGTATTTTTTAAAATATATTCTTATTCCTTGTGAGCATAGATTCTTTAAAATGACTGTTTTGTCTGATGCAGGAGCAAAATAATGAAACTCCACTGATTGAAGGGGAATTTGGATTTGATGCATACACCCTTGGATCATGTATGTGAGACGGTTGATGCTGATTTTCAGATAAAAGTCGGTGACAAAGGCATAAATCTACTCCTCTTTATGGAAGTCTGTATTTTTGTAATTTATTCTCTGTTAAACCATTTAGTTTTTGGTTGAAATTGATGACAGCATCCTCCTTTATGGAATTCTTTCTTCATGTCCTTTTACACATTGATGGAATAGTAGGTTGAGAAATTTTAGGTTTCTCGGTGTTTATTAGTTTTAGTTTCATTTGTATCTTGTTTTCCATAATATATTTGAAGGCAGCAGTTAAGAATTCAACCTGCTGTGACCAAGAACTTCAAATTTCAGTATTTCACCAATATCATTTATTTTTCTTAGGATCATGAAGCTTGCAAGTGATTACATTAGGATTTAGGGGTTCATCAAGTTCCAATGGGATGATGTTTTACGTGTACTAAATTAGAGATTTTTCAATACTTCATGGGTGGGACATTATCCCAAATCCATGTGATTAGCAACGGAAGCGAACCACTATTTTCTGCCACATCCTTGAGAAGAATTCAATATCTTATTTCTTGGATAATCAGAAACATTAATATCAAGTTCTTTTGGTTGAAACTTTACAAAATAAAGTTACATCCCTTTATGTAAGAATAAAACTAATGAAATTATTAGTGTTAAAAGCACGACAATATTATACACCTGGAGCAAAGAGAATGGCATAAAACTGGCCTCAAACTTCATATACAGAAATTCTTTTACTTCTCATCTTCACTCTATTTTTCATAGTCAGACCAAACATTAGCAAAGATTACAGAACTTGGAATCATGCAACAATGTTTGCCAACGAGGGTTAATGATTTCTGAGGCACCAATCCTTTGTTAAGCAGCTAAAATATATGATGTTAAAATAAGTTTAAGAATCAGAGTCAATCAAGCTCAACAAGCTGAGCTCTTCTCTCAGCAGCTCTCTTTCTTATAAATATGCCCCACCTTAAGGCAGCTTTCAACTTAAGCCACCCCACAACCGCCTTCCCTGAGCCTTTGCCACGTTCCTGAGCATAAGAGTGATCCATCTGATGATCATAAGGAATGGTGCAAGTATAACAAGCCTCATCAGAATGACCAAAAGCAGCTCCCATACCAACACCCACACCAAATGTCTTCAGCAGTCTTTGCATGTCATCAGTCTCTAACATTTCTGAACTCCTGAGCCGGATTTCCTCAGCTAAGAAATCTTCCAATCCCTGCCCATTCCTTGGCCGAGACCAATCTCCTGCAAAACCTGACACCTCATCTGTAGAGTTGCCAATTGGCTCGTAATTCATGCTACTAGGTAATAATGCTTTTTGATTATTCATTGTCATTACTGTATTCTGATCAGACCTTCCAAAGGGAAATTCAATCAACTGATGGACTGCATGGTTGTTGTTATTATTATTATTATTATTATTCTGGCACTGTGGATTTGGCTCTGAGGTGAGATACTGCTGCCTACTCTTTTGAGTATTGGTGGTGTAGTAATCTGCATCATAGTTGGTCTCATTTACTGATGCAATTGAGGGATTTGCTCCCTTTCTACTTGCAAGGGTGTTGAGAACCTTGTCATCATATTCTATTACTAGATGCCAATTTTCATATGCTCTTTTCACCAGGGAATCCACAAAAACCTGCAGGCAAAATTTCATATCAATCAGTCAAATATTTTTTGCTGGGCAGGGAGCTTATGCCATGAAAGGCGCATGGTAAAATAGCTTAGTGCCACGACCAGTATGTTCCATCATCAGCCTCTCATTTTTACCTCATGCCGAAGGAGTAGTGATTACAACTACGCAGATGTGAGAGATTCTGACGATCCATTCATTATATATTTTAAGGGACAATTAGACATTGCTCTAAAGTTGACTCTATCCTGTGAATCCAGTAATACTTTTGATGCTGCTTGTCAGCTCATCATCCTAGTGAAGTCAGTGCATTAGATATTGTATAAAAGTTTCCCACCAGTATCAGTTTTAACAAAAAGATTAGCAAATTAAATGTTGAGAAACGTCAGCAGCATTGCAAATATAAAGAAAATCTAACCTTTTGATTGTGGTTAAGTGATTCCAAAGGGAGGAACTGGCCGCCAGCAATAAGACCTCTGAGTTCATAAATGTGATTGAAAACAACACCGGTGCTATTTGTTTGATCAGTGTAGTAAACATAAAGTTTTTCCCCCAAGACACAAGTCTTAGCATGCTCCACCGTATTCTCCCACATTCTATTGGACATTCCGCTTCCGAGGATCTATATCAGGAATGTGAAGGCAATTAAGAACAACCAATGCAAAAAGGAGGAGTCTGAATGTAGAGGTAAAAACAAGTCTAAATGAAGACAGTTGAGAGGGGAAGGGAGAATCCCTTACATTTCTTAATCTTGGCGGATCCCTAATAAGAAGTCGAAGAAAATCTTCAACTGTTACAATTTCAGCCTTTAACAACTTTTTATGTAATGCTCCATCCTTAGCTATTCTGTCCAATCTCCACACTTCATCATGCAATGCAGGTGGGTAATGTTTCTTGTACACTGCAGTAAAAAGAAAAAGGGAAAAAATCATGACAACACTCTAGCCTGCCAAACAATGGAAAGCTGTAGAAAATGCTGGAGATCTATAAAGAGCAGGATGTGAAATAAGTCCAACTAACCAAACTGGTTGATTGCATTAAGCAAGATGATTACTAAACAACTCATAAAGTATTCAAGCCAAATGCAAAAGCAGCATATGGTTATTATTTAGGAGATGCAGCATGTAATGTGCCTGGAATTGCCTACCAATCACAATGCAAACGCTCTACTGGAATACTCACATTCTCCCCTATGATCTTTAACAGCAAAAGCCTCTGTTTTAGCCTCACGCACACGAATCCCTTCACAATATCCAGGAGCAACCTTCAAACCAAGCCTGAACTTTCTACTCCTAATCCAGCTGGAGTTGTCAGTGAAAGTAAGATCTCCTAGAGTTCCCACTCCTTCCTTGAGGATTACTTGTAGTTCCCCAGTCAAAAGCGGCCTTTTCCCCTCACGCTCTTTCACTTCGTAGTTCTCAAATTGCTCCTGGGTCCAATCCTCATCAGCTTCCTCGTTGAAGTCACCTTCTAGCACCACAACATTTAGTTTGGCTGCTGATTCTGATCCAGTTTGCACCACAGTGCCTGAGATCACATCTAGCAAGACAACATGAATGGCTGCTCCTTGCTCACCCTCAACTTTTCCTCCTGTGAATAGGTGAGGGGGCATTCTTGTTCTGAAATGTAGTTGTAGATTTCTTCCTTCTGCATTTTGTATCCTCAGTGGTGAACACCTGTTATAGATTAGACATACTTCATCAGTAACATATGACAACCCATTTTGTCTGTTTAAGGTACATTTCTGATATCCCTTATACCTCATTTGGACAATACCTAGGTTTCATAATATACGTTATTATCAAAATCTGTTTCAGACGTCAATCAGGATATGCATCACTATTACTTATGAGCATCATGAAGATCAAAGAGATATAAGCAGAATTCTAGGTTTAACGTCCAAATCTAGGTGTAGAAACGAACCTTCCAGTCAATTTAGCATTCCCTATTCTCGTCAAAGCCCGCTCTAATTCCTCACTGACCTGTAATTCAGTCAAAATGCAGAATCAGTAGAAGCAGACTCATGATAGAACCTATACATGTTAGTGCTTTTACTTATCTCAAAGTAAAATTTATCCTCAAGATACTAGCCAATATGACAAATAATTGAAGCAGCCTAGGATTCTACTTAGAGTTTTAGAGTGCATTTACAAAACTTAAAGGCCATATTATATAGATGAGACCAAGAAAATAATGCTTCATAAACAAATGGTGCTTATTATCAAAAAGTTTTACATAAGCAGCAGGATTGATTGCTCAGAGCTGGTTATGTTCTCCAACTTTTTTCTTGAGAAAACAACAATAAATAAGACTTGATTAAGACAAGACTAAGAAGGGATTGATGAATCCTTATAGCTCAACAATTTATATGCAATAATTCTGCAATAGTTAAGTACTGCCAACAAACATTTGACTCACAATTCTGCGTAACATAGGCTCCAAAGATGAGGAAAGCCTTTGCATACTGTCCACCTTCAGAGCTTCCACAATAACACTGCATGTAGGTCAATTTGTATATCACAGGAGTGCACTTGCAGAAAATTTGACATTGAACACTTACATATAAAGTATGTTAATCAAACTCCCAAATTAACAAATGCAGTTCGTCTACGTGATCTTGAACTGTAAAATTATAGAAATCTATAAAATTTCAATGTCGACTAAAAACTAAATGAACTCCTAAAGTTTTTTATTTGCTTTCTACAGGAATAGAATAAACACATTTTGTTCACAAATCACGGGTTGAATAACTCAAACGTAAAAATTTTTAGCCATTCTTGACATAAACATCTCAACAGCGCAGGTGATAGATCAAATCAAGGATGCTATTAGAACTAGGTTGGATGGGCTTAATAGGATTGCTACGGATGTCATTAATAAAGACCTTTGTGATGCTTACTACTATGTTCGAATAGGCTGATATCTTGAATAAGCTGATAGTAGAATTTATTCTTTGATTACTTGTAAAGTTGTGAATTATTATTTTCTGTAGTAGATCACTGCTAGCTTAGATGAATGAATTACAAATTTATCCAAAAAAAAAAAAAAATCTTAACAGCTTTCTGACTTGTTGAAGCCACTGAAACTAGATCATCAACTTAATCAAGAGGTCAAGCTTTTTATTGAAGTGTTTACCATAACTGATCAATATCATGTTCAAAGTTCAAACAGTTCAAGTAGTAAGATATGCATTTGGTCAAGCAAAAATGATTCAAGAACTCGGGCATGTCATCAATCAAATTTGATCTCTATATTCTTCTTAGCAACCCTATAGAGATATCGTGAATCATCCAAAATTGATCTAGTCCATCAAGATCACAGCAAAACTTCAAACCGTAACTTCAGAAAAGTCAAAACTGGGTTTCTAAGCAAGAAAAAACAAGATAAAAATACCCATTAACTTGAACTAGTACCTTGCCAAAGCGGGTAACTTTGGTTTCTTCAGTTCTGTAATGTAGCCTGCATCTTCAACGCCCTCCTCATACCCTCTCTTGTTCCTAGAACTTTCCATTTATGGAAACTTGACCAACTCTTCCTCCTTTATAGTATTGTTCCTTCAACTTGGAAAGGAAAAGGGCAAAAAAGGGAAAAAAAAAAACCCGAAGATAGTTCTAATGATCCCAAGAAGATTCAAAGAAGAACCTGTAGAACATAACTCAAAGTTTGCTAAATCAAGGTCCAAAGTTTAGACACCCATTTTTTTTTTTTGTTAAAGAAAAAAAAAAACCCTACTTAACGAAATTATAGATCTAGATGATATAAAATAACTGATATAACAAGGCAGAAAAGATAAGTTTTTTGGAGAGTGTTTTTTGGGCAGATCTAGATTTGTAGTATATTATTTTATTTCTGGTCAGTGATCAATATTATAATTTAATAACTTAAAACAAAAGTTTATATAATTGAAGAACACAGCTGTGTTTTGAGAGTGAACGCATGAACTTTGAAAGTCTAAAAACGCGTTTAGGTATCTGATGTGGTTTAACTCAATTACGACGCATGTGATATTTACTTTTTTTTTGTCTTTGGTTCCCGGGGAAAGTCAATGGTTGGTCCACGTATCCACGGCTGACATGTTTGTTTGGATGTACAGAAAAAGTGAAATTCGAATAAGCAGGAGGTTTAGACAAAATTCGTAGTCCTTTACTGCTCCTTTTTAGTTCTGATGTCCAAAAACATATAAGTACAACATTTTCAGGTTTGTTTTATTAATGAAAACTTCATCTACCATTCATCCTAAAATCAATAAGAAATTGAAATATTTTCATTTTCTAATGCTCAAAATGATGCTTTTCCCTTTGTTGTCAAGTGTTCAGTACCTCCCAAGGATGCCTTTTGGGTGAGAAATGAGGAACATGAATCAAGTATTGCAGTCTCAGTCTCTCACGACTTAGGCAAGGCAGTAAATGAAAAGAAATTACTACTAAAAGAGATTAACAAAAAAAAAAAAACAAAGAAAGATGTTCTTGTTTTTTAACTTTGCTTTAAGCTAAGAAATTGAGATGATATTACAGTGAGAGATCCACAGAGTGTGACAATTACAAGTGAAAATCCTTTAGATACTTCGTATCATCTAAAGAATTAATGCAACTACAAATGGAGAAGGAGGGAGAGATTAAGGGGCCCTTTGCCCAAACAAGACTACTCAAGCAACTTTGCTTGCCTGCTTGAATAAATATCAAGGTGGAATGCTTCAATTTCTTGACTAGGATATCTAAATGAATTATACAAACAGTTATTCCCCTTCCCAACCCATCTTTCGAGCTCTTTGCTCCCATAATGTTGTAACTTTCCTCTCCTTGATCAGCAAGGCCTCAGCCCGCTCTCTCGCCTCCTCACAGGTTTCTGTCGCTGCAATACATTTTTCTGCCTCTCTTTGGTACTGGGAAGCCACCCTTTTTGCTTCACCAAAGGTGATGTTCATATGGCGAGCATGCTCTTTAGAAACAGCCTCCTGCAACTTCAACTCCTCCGTCAGAAGGTCCACAAATTGCTTCTCCATTTCTTGCTTGAGATCAGGGTCATTGCTTCCACAATCTGTATCACCATAATTCTTATCATGCATATATGATTGTGGTTTCACCAGATGAATGGACAAAGTACATGAAAGGAAGCAGGGCAATGATTTGGTAGAAATTAAAATGAGTATTAGAAAGAAATAAGTCACAGAGTTAACCAATTTGAGTTGTGGAATAAACTCTGACCTGTGACTGAGAGATTGGCCAACCCTGCAAAAGAATAACAAATGAACAAAAAGTAAATAAGTAATTCAAAGAGATGCCAAAAGTATTGAGTACCTGTACCAGACAGGCAGAGACATGAACACTTGACACAATTTTACAACCATTACCCCCCTAACTAGCAGGAACACATAAAACAAGGAAACAAACAGCATAAGCCATAAGGAGCTGCAGATTCTGCATGCAAGATTGTGATTACAAGGTAATATTGTCCAAACACAAAAAAGAAGCCATAATATCAGGAGTGAAAGAAAGAAAGAAAGAAAATAGAAGTTCATTTAGTTATCTAGTTACAAATTTAACAAGTTCTTCCCTTCTTCTGAACACCAATTTCAGGCACTATAACTTCGACATTTTGCACTTTGTACTTGTTATTTTGTGTCACTATGGTTTATGAAGAATAGAAGCAGCCCAAATGCATGTCACTTTATTTTGTCAATACTAAATTTGTTGCTATTCTAGACAGTTGTTAATAAATTAAAAAGCAAGATCAATGGTGCAACAGCACTGCAAAAAATCAATGAAATTCCAGACTTATAATCAATTCCCATCATTCATGGACAAGTCATGTATATTATCCTGATGTCATTCTTAAGCTTCAAAAAAATGATGTAGTTCATTACTTTACACGAGCTGAACAACACAGCTAGACAAAGTTTAACAAATTTCTACAAAGAGATCCATAATAACAAATTTCTACAAAGAGATCCATATTAAATGTAACCATAAAGGATCCTGGAAGGAAAAGAATACATCCAGTCTGAGATGTTTAAGAAAGAGACTGTTTTAAAAAGTCAACATGCTGTGATTTCTCAATAGTCAATTCAGAAATGTAGAGATTGTTTCAGTACCACTGAAGTAAAACCTAAGAAGATTGTTTGTTTATATCTCCCTACAGTGAGAAGGACCAAAATCACCAGAAAAAGGGAAACAATACTTCTTTCAGACTATGAAATCTTATTGCATGGTTAGTTGGCCCCTAAAATAAATAAAGGTTGTCACCTAAATCAACTTACTTCTTAGTCATACGCATCAGAAATGGACCTAGAAGTGGCATTTTTCCTTCAAGTAGTATTAATAAAGTCATTGTGCACATCAGGATGGGGACATAGCATAGAGAGAGCAGAAAGCTCCATTTTTAATTAGCAATGCCAACAAACCGAGTGCCTCTAAATTCCTCAACTTAATATATGATTAAAGAAGCACAAATCAGAATTGAAATTTGGTTTTACTACTTGATTACATCCTGTTGCATGTTAAAGCCAAGCAAACTGATACCTTCAAAATTAGCAGCAGCAGTAGATCAAAACCTCAAATTGAAGAAAAGGGAATTTCACAAGGAATAAGCATTAAATCTAAACCCAACTTGAGGCACACCCTGTCACCCTATAACAACCACCTTAACAAAGCATTGCCAAACCTCAAAATGCAAAATTAGCAACAACAGTAGATCAAGACCTCAAATTTCCCAAATGGGTATTACTTGATTACACTCCAATAAACAACCAATCAAAATCAAAATTTGACAACAACCCAGAATCACAAAAAAGAATAAAAACATGGAATTTGATTAATAAATAAAATGCCCAAAACAAGGAAGGAGTAAATACCAGGGGCAATCTTGAGAAGGGAAAGAGGAGCAGGACAATCACAGATGCAAGGAGGACAAGAGGATTTGGAATCAGCGAATCTAAGAGTTTTCTTGAATCTCCAATAAAGAGCAGGTCCGCACACTCCCAAAGCTGAAACTACTGCAAATATTACTAGACAGAACCTTAAGCAAGTCCCTGATCGCCGTGACATGTTCCTTTCTATCTCTCTTTAGTTTATTTCTCCTACTAGACTCTATCTCTTTCTCTCTCTTTACTCTGTCCGTGTTTATGGAATAGTGAGATCTAACCAGGGATGCATTGATTAATGGCTGTGAATATGAATCTACTGCTTCGACTGTCTTTTTAATTTTTTATTATTCTTTACACTTGGTTTTGAAGAAGTTAGTGTCAGCAGGCCAAATTTCATCCCACTTTTGTCAAAATCACTGAGGCTGGGGTAGGTTCACCGTCACAAAGAAGGAAAGTTATCGAAGCCCAATAAAATCCAAGTAAGTGTTAAAAAATTCTGGTCATTGGTCAAATATCTGTCGGTTTTGGGCTTGGGTTATTGAAAAGAAAAAGGAAAAAGCAAGAATCATCGAATGCCTCTGCCCAAATGAAGATTTTGGGATGCTGAGAATATGAGATGGCGTTTGAAATAGAGATTAAAAGGGAACACCCAACACGTGTTTGTGTCGGTGTCATCAGGCCCCACAATTAAAGAAGGCCATGGCACAACTCATAACCGTTAACGTATTTCTTCCAAGTAGCCTGTAGCCTGTAGCAATACAATTTTGGGTCTAGTAAATCAAGTCAATCCTGGATGGCTTGGAAAAGCTGGAATGCAATAGTTTTACAAAGTTTTCTAAGATTGAGAGAACATAGCTCTGTCAGATAAATGGCTAGTTTCTATATCAGCCTGAGTAAGACCCTAAAATTAGATTACAGAAAGAAAAGTTTCAAAACATTGATCGATCCAAATTGCCAAGGTTTTACACCAAAACTTCTGTCGATGCATGTCTGAGATCTGCATGGTATTCATTTAACCACTTCTGGATGATCTCAACTTCTTGCCTCCTCAGTTCAGTAAGCCAGTCAGGATCTTCTTTTGTTGCAGACCGGAAATCAACATGGTGAGCTCCTAATAAAGAACAATGGGAGAATTTCTTAAGTTCATAACAATTGACAAATGTATCAGAAAAAATGTAGGACAGAAATGCTTTGTCATAATTCACATACCTTTTTCTGTGACAAGAGCAATGATACTGGCAGATATATTTTTCAGCACACTGCATAATTCAATTCATAAATTAGTTTCATTATGATAGAAATTGATGCTAATTTTGGCTCATGGAAATTGTTCTCTAAGAAGATCAAGGAACAGGATATATTGTCACCTGGTAATCAGCATATGATCTGTTTAATGAATCAGAAGAAAGAAAGTAGTAAAAAGAGAACAACTTACCCTCCTCTGCTCCATGGATCCTGCATTCCATTGGAAAATATGATATTGCTACCAAATCTCTTCAATACTTTCTCAATTCTCTGCACAGGCAAGACACATTAATAAGTTCAAATCTTCGACTCTACTAATGAAAAAGACATTTATCTACACCTTCTCAAAATGGTATATCTCAATAGAAAGAATCAAGAAGGAGAAACAATTAAAAAAAAAAAAAAAACTCACTTGGCCACCAAATTCGGTTGTGATCCAGTGTGGCCGAGGCAAAACTCCATATTTCATTTGGCATTGTTCTGCAAACTCTTCATAATCAAAGCCAGATGGAGGAAACATGCTCTCCTTAGAGCGAGTCATTGGCATAACCATCTCTGTGCATGTCTGCATAACGATTTGGAAAATTAATTTGTTTAGGCAACAATGTATTAAGATTTAAGTGGCAGTAATCAAACTCTAGTTAAAACTGTTTCTTTATTGCAATCAACATTTACTAAATAGATATTGATTATTCAGCATAGTTTGGAACTCCTTCCATAACTTAGTGGTCACATAGAACTAGATTCATTCAATCTCATCGATCATCAGTAGGCTGCAGCATTTACACTGATGTGATCTGAAATATAACTACATGGAAAAGGTAGTTGCAAGCTCTAAATTCTGGACAAATTTTGCATCCACAACCTGCTATACGGATACTGCAAATGTTGTGGTCATGCCAACTTTATGATCTATTCCTCAATAGGTCTGGTTGCATCTGACTCCAAACAACTTTATAAGCTTTGAAATTGGCACATTTTAAATTAGATACTAAAACAAAATGTTTACCTGCCAGTCCCAACCATGAAGGCCATGGGGATCAACTTCTTGTTCTATCTCAAAGCAATTTTCTGCTTGAGAATAGTTGTAATATAAGCTTGCAGCTGCGAAAGCACAACTAAGCTTTGTTGCTCCTGATGGAAATTTATCAATTATCTTGCACATCTACATATAAATAAAGGTTTAAATGCCACAAGGAGAAATCAACAAGAGATCTTTGAAAATGTTAAAACTTAGAGCTTGAATTGAACTAGCTTATATGCAAATCTTACCTGCTGTACAGGATAAGCAGGTAATGGCTTCATGAAATTTGCCTCAGTTGGATAATTAACCATGGCTGTATAAACAAAAGCAGCCCATAGCCAATCTCGAGCAGAAGTAGTTGAATGAAGGCTCCTGAACTTTGAAGAACGAAATATGATTAACTCTGAGGAAGGAAAATAAGCAAAATGCATAATATAAATTGCATCATGACAGGAGAAATGCTAAACTTGGTTGTAATTGCCAGTTATCAACTTGGATGAAGGTAAGAAGATTTTTATGGAAAAACTAAACTTGATCAACAATTGTGCCAATGAAAGTTGATCTAACAACGTTCCCAGAGTAGTAAGAAAAATCTTTCAGCATGCTTATTCTAGTTTCAGGATATCAATCAAGGCAGGACCCCAAAGAGCAACTCTTCTTATTAAACCCTAATGTTTTAACCGCCCTAATCTTGGCTGTGGTAATTCTTAGCTCTGTTGACCTCCATCTATGATTGTATCATCTTTAAACTAGTGGTCTCGTTTCATCTAAACTGCAGCATTATCATATAATTCCTTCTTGGACTGTTTATAACACACAAAATATATTTTGAAGGAAACCAAAATTAAATGATGCAAATACATTTATTTTTTCTACAAATGAAGCTTACCCCTTGCATAAACAAGCAACTTTCACAACAATCTAATGATCAGAATCAAACTCTACAAACAAGTTTACTTAATATAATCCCATTTCATGACTCACTTGCAGGTTCTGAAAGCTTTGCTTAGTTCAGTCAAGGCTTCTTTCTGAGTTGAAATTGCCTCCAGTTCTGCCCAGCTCCCCTTTATCACTTCATAGCAATTCCGGCTTACATCCTGAATGCCCATTTTAGTTTAGTTATAGAGGAGAATTGAAGAACACAAAGAAATGTGAAGTTCAAGCACAAACTCATCTCTGTGTGAGAACTTAAAGATAGACCTTGAAATCCTGGGAAACAGCATCATAGAAGCTTGACCATGGGATTATCTTATCAAACTGTAATATAGGGGCTGAAGAAGCCAATGCACCAACTGCTATATGAGGGTATTTAAGTCTAAACCACGCTGCAAGCACTACAAGAAAGAACTTTTTTCATAATGATAAGAAAATGACAGCATAGCAACATTGGTGGTAAAAAGAAACAGCAATTAACCCTTTTTCTGATAAATTCACTTCAACTACCAGCGTACCAGTATCACACAATCACACTAGAATTTCTGTTTGTTTATTAAAACATGTTCCTTGAAATTCTTTACTATGATCAGCAAGTACCACTCAACTAAAAGGAAAAGGATTTTTTTGCTAATTACTATCAATATGCCATATTAATCCATACATCACAGCAATAAGTTCTTGAAAGACCCTAAGAAAATGAAGTGCTATATGGGGTTTTTATTTAACTTACTTCCTCCATAAGACCCACCGAAGGCCACGACAGCGGATGCTTCAGAAGACAGATTCTGCTTCAAGCTCCTTATCAAAACTGCAAAATCAGCCAAGGCTTGCTGTGAATTCAAGTACCCCAAGGTCTTCGCTGACTGGTACGAGTCTTTCCCAAATGGCATTGACTCCCCATAAAATCTATGCTGAAAATCCCAACAGAAATAGACCAAAAAAAAAAAACAAAATCAGCTCTTTGAATAAGACATGGGTTTTAGGATATGCTTTCAGTTTTGGAAAAACACCCACAGATTTAAAACAGACCAATGTACTTTCTGTGTTCTTACGAACACCAAGAAACTATTTTTAATGCTAAGAGCCACTCACAAGTAACTTTTTTTTTTAAAATTTTAACTCAGATAATAGAATCCCGAGGAAGGGATTTTGCAAACATTACTTCAATGAAGACAAGAAGAGCTTTGAACTTGGGAGCAATGTCAAGCATGAACCCTGTGTTAGCAGCAAACCACTCAATATCTCCTTCATTGCCAGTGTAGAGAAAGATAGGAGCGCCTTTGTGCCAGTACTGACTGTTGATTAGGTACTTTTGGTAGAATATTTTGGAGCTCTTGGGCTGGAAAGTGAAGTGGTCTAAAGTTTGAGGGAAGTAGTGAGTCTTGAATGGAAACTTTGGTTTTGGACTCTTGGCTTGTTTGATCAAAGACTGATAGGTAGCTCGAGGGAAAAATGCTGGCAATGAATTGGCTGGTGTTGTTAGTGTTACAGAAGAAGTGATGAGGAATAGAAATAAAAGAGATAAGCAAGTAGCCATTGTCTCACAGGAAGCAAAATTGCTGGTTCTGTGCTGCAACTTCCTTGGCTTCAACGGTTTAACTCTTTTGTAAGTTAGAATAGTTGGGGAAGGCAAAAGTTAAAAGCATCAGTTCATGATTCTTTGTACATGGATGGTTTTGGAATGGACCATAAAAGTTTGCAAAAACTTTTCGAGTTGAATAGCACAAAGTTGTCAGCTAGCTGCCAGCTGCCAGCTGACGCTAAGAGTAGCAGATTAGCGGCTCATTGAATTAAAGTTTGTCTTAAACATGCATCAACCAGATCATAGGAAAAGACCATTGATGTTCTAATTCTGGTGATGTGATAGCCACGAAGAGGAGGATGGTCAATTCCGTACCAAATAGGGGATTAAATGTTACTGCGACACGGCTGTTGTTGTTGTTGTAGTAGAAGAGAAAGGCCAAGATAAGTTGATTTCCAAACAATAAAAGCATTATCTTATATATTTCCCCATCACACTTAATGTACGAAAAGCTTAGGCAAAATACATGGACGATGAAATTTATGACACTATATAATCCATGAGTAAATGCAAAATTTTAGAAAGATGAAGCATAATGGTAAATCTAAATCCCATTTTTTTGGACTTTAGAGAAGTTGGCAGCTTCATTATCAAAAACAGAAAAAAGTTGGTAGTTTCTGCTTTGACATCTAAAAGTTTGGCCTGGAATTGACCCATGGGACTTCAAGCCAAATAATGCATCTGAGTACAGCTTCAAGAGAATAAGCCATCCGTTCATGCCAGTTGGCACCTTGGACCAGGATCAAAATTGTCAGATCAATTCTCTGTCATCAACATCTTTTTTTTAGTAATTATTGGTTTTCTTTAGGATAACTAGGTAAAAAAAAAAGATTAATTATTGTTGGTTATCTGTTATTTCCTCTTTTATTAAAAAAAAATGCAAGAATTGAAAAATAAATGTTTGAAACTGCAAGAGATGCGGCTCAGAGGATCACTGCTTGTCCAGTGGGATTTTTATCAAAAAATTAGAAGTAAAGTGGTTAGATAAAGCATTTAAGACTGACTGAAGGGTATCTCAGTTTCAATTTAAAATTAAACCACACATTAAGAGTAAGATCATTTACAGTTGCATCATAACATCTAGCATTGATTTCCCAGAAGATGCACCAAAAAAATTTCAATTCAAACTTTCCCCTAGACCAGCATATTAACTTACAATGATTCTTATTAACAGTGATAGAAGAAATCTCACATGGCCAGTCCCCTTCATTTCTTTCCATCCAATGAAATGAAATATAAATGCAACTCATGATTAACACAGCTTGTCTTTGTTATAGGACCCATCAATCTCTGCTCAAAGACAATCATTATGAAATTTCGTTTATCAATTTCATCATCCTTTACTTGGGTCATATGCTCCTTAAAAAAGTCCAGCTATTCTTCAAAATCAAATATCGACATTTCCCTTGGCACTTCTGTTGAGGTTCTAAAATCTATTGTACACAATTTGTTAGACTCGATTGAACTGCTCCCTTGACAACGCTAAAAGCTCGCATGAGAATCTGGCAGATTGATTTTTTTTAACCATTCAAACGTACAGATGTTAAGATATAACCTCTTCCACGTCTCACTTAAGCATCTTTGCTGCACCAAAAATTTCTCTATATATTGAAACCTGCCTAGATCCTGACCAAAAATGCTGGTAAAATTTTGGAAAAGAAGGAAATGCAAGTAGTGAAGAATCTCGATATCAAAAGGTACATGGGACGATGGTATGACATAGCTTCTTTCCCATCAAGATTTCAGCCCAAAGATGGAATGAACACAAGGGCTACATATACTTTAAATGAAGATGCAACTTTGAATGTGCTGAATGAGACTTCGTCTGATGGGAAGAGAGCATACATTGAGGGCAGTGCCTGCAAAGCTGACCCCAGCAGCAATGAGGCCAAGCTCAAAGTGAAATTCTATGTACCTCCTTTCTTGCCTATAATACCAGTTGTTGGAGATTATTGGGTTTTATATATAAATGATGATTACAAATATGCTTTGGTTGGCCAGCCTAGCAGGCAGTATCTTTGGATAGTCTTGCTTTTATGATGGTACTCTTTCAAAATCTTTATATATACCAGTATTTTTATGCGATGAAAGATTTTTTTTTTTAATGGAGTAGTAAGAGGATTTTTGAAATGGGTAATTTGGCCAATGAGCTGGATTTCACTTTGATTTGATTCTGTTCAGTTTGTTTTGTTGTGTTGCTTTTGTAGATATTACGCAGGGAGAATCATATTGATGATGAGACATACAATCAGTTGGTGCAGAAGGCTAAAGGTGAGGGGTATGATGTTAGCAAGTTGAAGAAGACAAAACAAAGTGAGCCTCCACCAGGAGATAAAACCACCCCCGAGGACACCAATGGCATTTGGTGGATTAAATCCATCTTGGAAAAGTAGGAATCAATCAGTTATTGATAATTAAAATGCATAAAAACCTAGAATGATGAGGCTCATCAGAGACAAAGAGTGCGTGGTCCAGCCTTATTTTCTTCCTTTTTTTTACTCTTTGTTGAATTGCATCAACCCTTTTTGTATAGAACTAAACCCAGCCTAGATTTTTCGATTTTGAGTAGACATTTGTTAGACATGATTAACAAGTATATTATTCTTTCAAACAATGTTATTTTCCCTTGTTAGGATACCAATTAGTAAAAAGTAATAAGTTCAAATCCAGGCCCACTCCTATCTATCACTAGAGCTTTCATGGGCTAAGGAGTTGCATATAGGGGCCAGTCTGTAGAAATTTTCCATGGTAACATGGACGGTTGTACTTGGAATTGAGTTCTGAACAAGCCCAAAGGTGCTTCAATGTGCTTTTAAGTTTCAAATGGTGTTTGATTGCGGGATAAGTAAACCATTCCCATTTGAATGTAAAGTGAAGGTAAGCTGAAATTGACTGATTAGACTGTTCTATTATTTTTGTCAGTCTATTATTTTGCTGTTCTTGCTCCCTAAGTTTGCTTTTCTTCGATTTGACTGTCAGAAAGCTCCAAGACCCAAACCTGTTCCACTACCCGTAAACGGCCCAGAAGCTTCCATGTGCATCTGGTAGTTTCAGCCCTTCATACCTACATACGTGAGGCCCTTAGCCCTCCACGTTTCACTTTCAAATTTCCATTGCAATGAACCAAAAATTTTCCCCTATAGTACCGTATCAAGATTCAGCAAAAAGCGGATTACAACTCTCTTAACGACCGGGGTCTCTCCTCCTGCGATCTAAACAAAAACCCAAAACATTGTCCCAGAAAACAATGGAAGTGGTTAAGAATTTAGATATCAACAGATACATGGGAAGGTGGTACGAGATAGCTTCATTCCCATCAAGGTTTCAACCTAGGAATGGGGAGAACACAAGGGCTACCTATACTTTGAACGAAGATGGAACTGTGCATGTGCTTAATGAGACATTTACTGATGGCAAAAGAGGGTTTATAGAAGGCACTGCCTACAAGGCTGATCCCAAGAGTGATGAGGCGAAGCTGAAAGTGAAATTCTATGTTCCTCCTTTCTTGCCCATCATTCCTGTTGTTGGGGATTACTGGGTTTTGTACATTGATGATGATTATCAGTATGCTCTCATTGGTCAGCCTAGCAGGAAGTATCTTTGGGTATATGTCCTTTATCCTCTCAATCTCTTTTGTAGCTATTAATTATAGTTTTTGATCATTTCAATTCCAGTCTATCAGCAAGAATTATATGATATATATGTTTGGCATATTTCTCAAAATGGATTAGATTCAATTTGCTGCATTACACTGATAAAAATTGAGACGAGAAATTATTTTTCATTAACACAGCTTCAGCAATTATTAATGCATGTACTGATGATTGGTCGTCTTCGAATATTTGTGGGCTATGTATGTAGATATTATGCAGGCAGACGCATATGGATGATGAAATCTACAATCAGCTGGTGCAGAAGGCCAAAGATGAGGGCTATGATGTGAGCAAACTGCACAAGACCCCACAAAGCGATCCCCCACCAGAAGGAGTGGACACCCCCAACGACACCAAAGGCATTTGGTGGATCAAATCAATTTTTGGAAAGTAGGAATCTGAATGACTATCCATTCATGGTTTAGTAGAAACATACAAATAAGTCTTGATGCGTCAAAATCCAGTTCGTGGATTAGGGTTAGCGGTCGAAAGTCAATTCCCATATTTTTCTTTGATTTGTAAAAGAAATTGCTGTATGGATGTAAGTTTTTGTCTCCATTATGGTTTGAACCATGAATTGATGATCGAGCTGTATGCAAATTTGCTTTGGTGTGTATGTTGATGATGCCTGTTGGTTGTACAATTATTTGGTTCTTGGAATCCAGTGATGAATACTATATAACACCTGTCGAAAATCGGGTCCATCTTGAATCTCGTCCCTTCTCTCTAATGTGATAGCATGGTTATCTATACGCTATCATCATGTATGCAATCTAGAATCCCAGGAAACCAGCTTTAGATTTATGAAAGGCAAAATTTCTAGTAAAAAGGAAATCATATGCTTATCCAGTCAAAATGATCTACTTGCAAAGATGTTTATCGAGCCAAAAGTTAATTAATTCCCTTATAAAAGGCAGCTCATCAAGTCCATTCAGAATATTTATGATCCAACGAAATGTTTTGGAACAAGTTGAAGAAACCTCAGTGCTGTTGCAAGGATGAAGTTTTTGAAACGACACATGGGCAACCAGATGTCTAGTACTAAGTCACTAACCCAAGGAGGTGGCAGCACTTTCTACTGCCAAGATGAATTATATATTACCATTACAGAAGAATTGCATACATCCAGAGAGATATAAGATATAAAATCTACTAGTATTTGTCAGAAGACAGCGTAAAAGTGATAATAGTATTATTATAACAAGAAAAATGTTTTTGTGAACATTTTGGTTTCCCTTTTCTTTTCATCCAAAATAAACATAACCAGAAAGAGAAAACCATGAGTAATTCTCTCAAACAAACAATCAACCATATAGACAAATCACAGTCACCATCAGCTTCAGAGGCTAAAACAAGTGAATGCCATCACTGCATGCATAGCTGATTTCTCTAGAAGTTTACAGTATGGTACAACATTGATTGGTTTTCTTAGCCTGCTTGTAGAACATCTGTTTCAATAACCAAAGTTAGGTTTCAATGTTAGCAACAACATAATGGTTGTTCAATTGAATTTAGATGATAATGACAATAACAGTTACAACCCTCCATGTTCAGGACCATTTGAAGACAAAAGATGGGTATGCTGACAATCCATTATGATATCAATTTACTGTGTAGTGAAGACAACAAAAAGTTCTAAAAGGACACAAAAGAAAAAAGGAGGGAGGGGGCAATTAGTAAGCATGATAAATAGGAAAGAAGCACAGGCCTCACTGAATATAGTTAGATTAGATGCATATGCAAATCGGTGAATGCATGTGGAATTACATTAAGGCTTCTACATGTACCTGGGATGCCGCGCTGAGGTCTGAACTCTTCTCAACTAAACTATCCAGCCTCTCACCTCGTGCAAGCACACTATCAATAGTTTGATGCTGCATCAAAGAAACAATCATTTCAAAGAATGAGAGAAGAATTAATTTCAATCAAACGCTAACACAAACATAATAATTCTTTCGACATTTCATCTTCAAGTTACATTTTAAACAGCAAAAGTTGACACAAAACTCCAAGAGATGAAGAAATTACAAGACAATAATTCAGCATAACTAACATTGGTTGCTATTTAAACCATTAGCTAGCCAATATTCCTTTCAAATCCTCGAGTTGAGAAAATGAACGGATGGCACTTATTAACTGCTTGATGTGCCAAACTTATCAAACTATGACACAATCTATTAATGGATCTGTAATCAATTCCACAAGGAATTGCTGCCAACCATTAGCAATATTTGCGAGTATGAACTAATTTGAACAACTCATATGCAAAGAATGGAACCTAAACTCACTTCATTGGATAGCCATAAACCTTTTCCTCTTTTCTAAATAGCCACTTGGCAGTTGATATAACCTAAACTTGAACATTTCACGACACCTTTCTTTCCCCTCAATGACAATAGGCTATAACATCAACAAATTATTTTACCTCTTTTCCAGTCATTTCCCTGACAATAGAATATGAAGGAGGGAACAGTTTAAGAAAACAGTAGACTTGCAAATTCTACTCCTATCATCCAACAGGAAAAGCAAAAACCATTTTCCATAACATCACTCCTACTATACAACATCCATGATGACCTTAACTAGTTTGCTATTTATAAAAAAATATTTCTATGAACTGTTATCAATGTATCACAACATTAACGCAAAAACAATTTCAATCTAAAGCATGCCTTCTGCATATTACAGAATCAACAACCAACACAAGTATGAATAGCCAACAAAATGATAATTTGAAGATGAAGATTGCATGGTATCATTGACAGGTGAAAGCTAAAGGGAAAGCACACAAAATCATCAGATCTATGCAACAACAACAACTTCAGCGAAATGCTTACAAGGATGATTTTAGTTTCATCCAACTCCCTCTGAATTTTCAATAATTTATCCGCCTCTGCAGGGTCCTGAAGATGGAAAGAGGATCAGAAAAGTTTTTTCGGAAATAACTCCTCTAAAGCTCCGAGTAATATCCTTTAAAATAGCTTTTGAGATGAATTTGAAAAGTATAAACTATAGCAAACATGTATGAGAAAGAAAACAGGCACCTGAAATTTGGTCAAAGCTTCATTCAAATAGGGCCAAGGTTGAGTGCTATCAGCTTGCACAGATCTCCATGATTCCCCAAAATTTTTCTGATATTCATCTAGCACCTGCCAAACATTATCTTGAAATTTATACAAGAAACAATACAAACTCACGGATAAATTCTACAACATCAAAGCGAAGAACAATAAAAGAACAGATGCACACCAAATGTGATATATGTGACCCATGGACACTTGACATTATCTAAAACTTTTAGGTCATGTTTGGTACACAAAATTATAATAGGATAGGATAAGATGATATTATTATAAATAGTATTAGATTAAATAATGTCATCCTATTTTATGCTTGATGCATGTAAAGATTAAGATAGCATAATTTATTTATTGATCAAAATTATCCTTCCTTAAAATTTATACGATTTAAATTATTGATATAATTTTTCAAGGTATAATAGGACATGTAAGTTTAATCCTATGGATTAAAAATAATCTTCTCCTGGATGGATTGAACCATCCTATACCAAGAAAATGATAATCCTCCTTATAATCTTATATAGGATGATAATCCTCCTCCTAATCCAATCTCTTTCAATTAGATACAAACCAAACATAATATAAAATGATTATCATACTATCCTATCCATCATCCTATGCAGCAAACACGACCTTAATGCAACATATATATAAACACACAGACTCACACATACACATACAATATCTTCCTCCATCCATCCATCTATTTATCACTATCAGATGCAAAGTGAAATAGAACCTCTATCTATCCACAATATGACAAAGATAAAATATCCAACATATGTGCCAGGCAACAAGCATAAACATGAGTGAGTTACTAGTGAACATCAATAAAAAAACTAATAGTATTTAAAAGAAAATTTTAACTGTTATTGATTCTTGCTATATAATCTTGAAACAAGGCAGTTCAAACCAAAAAGTAGTGAGAACTGAGAACTTTGCAAAATTGTACTTGAATACTTAATACAACTAACAGAAAACACCAATACTGCAGTCAATAAGATTGGATGACATTGAAGCTTAAAGCAAATCATGAAACCCAGACAAAAAAAAGGAGTTGCAGTTTGTTTTGTTTACCTGGTTGAGAAGCGAAAAGGCACTTCGAACAGGATAGTGATCATCCATAAATCCCAAGGCAACAAGTCCATTTCTGTTGTAAGCGTGTACCTTGTACTCTACATTAACATCACCAAACAACAAAATTAGAATTAAAAAAATTAAATATCATAATTTTCATAATAATCAACCAAATCACCTTCTCAAACCTAAAATAGAAACAAAATTCACTAAAACAGAAAGATCACATATACATATGAGGTCAAATCTTTATCAATCGTGAGAAAACATACCCGAAATATGAGTTTTCTGTTTTTACTACTAAAATCCCGTTTTAGAACAGATTAAAAAAATTCTCAATCTAATACAAGAGATAATATGAAAGATCCAAACAGGGTGTTATCAATCATATGACACAAATTTAAGAAAGTTAAAATCGGAAGCGAAAAGAGTTGAAAATCGGACGGACCTTCGTGCTGGACAGACTGGCGCTGGCGGGAGGGGTACGTTTGGCGACGGTTCGAGAAACAAAGACGATAAACTCCTTGACGCTTGACCTTTGGAAGTAACCGAAATGGCTCACATCGGATGCGTTCGCTAGTATTATCGGATCGGATCCTTCCGGGTTGCACTTCAACACCAATAACGACGTGATCTTCATCTTTCTCTTTATCTCTGTTTTTCTCTCTCAATTTTTTTCCCCAAGAAAAAATTAATAATAATGATAATAAATTTTATTTCTTTATTTTTATCTCTCTGCGAAGAATTCTTTTTCTTTGTTTGGTTCCAGGAAACTCGTAAGAGGAAAAAGAGAATGGGGAATAAGGATCTGGTGTAGTCGATGCCTTTTTTCGATTCTTTGCAATCGCTTGGCTGGCTCGCATTTAATTATGTGCCGACGCACAAAATAATTAAAAAAAAAAAGGAAGATGCTGGAAGTTTGATACATCAGGACCGTTGATCTGTTTGGTCCCACTAGAATCTTATATTATGGCCGTTATAGGGATTTCCCTTTTTACTTTATAATTTTGAATAATTAAAAAGACGTGATAGGGAAGAACTAAAAAATAAAGAGAAAGTGTTAGGACGCAATTTTGGGATAATGTGAATATTTAATAATATTTAAATTTAAAAAATATATTATTTATAAATTTATTAATTAATTTAATTTAAAATTTATTTATGTATTTTATATCATTATTTAAAATTAATAAAATTAAAAATAAATATCATATTAATTAATAAATTTTTAATTTAAATATTACATTAAAAATTTTAAAATTTTAAATATTATATTAAATAATTTATTATAATTAATAGCTCATTTATAACATTAACCTTTTTAATTCAACAAAAATCCGATTCTCTATTAAAAAAAAAATGTAAGCTTTTATTGATTGGTAACTCATCAAATTCAGAAATAACTACGGTAGATTCCTTTTTTATATTTACTTTTTAATTAAAGAAACAAACAAAATCTTTTTTAAAAAACCAATTCGTTTTTCAAAGTTTAAAGTTATAAAAATAAGCTGAAAGAACCAATTTACCCAATTAAATGACCAAACTTTCTAGCAAAATATAAAATAGAAATAAAATTAGAGTCGTGAAAAGGTTTGTTGGGGAAGATTTTTAGTACGAGTAACGTGAAACGGAGGTGCACAAAGGTAGGGAGGAGAAAACAAATACAAAAAATTGAAAATGGATATAAAATTATGATATTTGATTTAGTTCAAATTAAATTTGATTATTAAATATATATTAAATTTAAAATTAAAAAAATTAAATCAAATTATATTATATATTTTTATTAATTTATATATATGTTTTAAATTTTTATAAAATAAAAATAATTATTTTTTATAAAAATTTATTTAAATATATTACAAATTTTATTAAATAATATATAAAAAATAAAAAATTAATTTTAAAAATCAATAAATCAAATTAAATCGAATTTATAAAATTTAATTTAAGTTAAATTAAATTTTAAAAATTTATAATATTATATATTATTAAAAAATATTAAATCATATCGATTCAATGATACACCCTCTACACAAAAAAGGGGTGATAGGTGTAAGGGTGAGACTGAGTCGCCAATGGCTGCAGGGTTCGCTTTCTCTAGCAAAAAGTTGGTCTGCGCCGGATTTCTTATTGCATTCTAGTCAACTTCGCAATCTAGCTCGACCCAAAGGAGTGAGAAGTGGTAAAAATAAAGCTCTACCTAATCAATGAAACAGAAGCAGGGACGGTGGCACGCCTTTTCCACAAGATTAAGAAGCTTTACTAGTATTGGCGTGCTACGGCTGGAGATAATAATGCAAGGATGATGACCAGATTTTTTGGAAATGTTAAGTATGATATGCAGCTGAGGTGGGCAAAGATTTGTCATCTGAGGGACTACTCCGACGACAATCGCACTAGGGCTAACCGTCTGAAAGCCTCCCCGACCACGGCCGTCGTGTCAATAGAGATTGCTCGGTAGAGAAGACCATGGGGGATCACCATGTTATTGGGATTACCCTGTTGCTGGCTAGTGGGAACTTGTCATTGCTGAGCCATGAACAAGTTACTCTCATGAGTTCACTGTGTCGCTGGTAATTGAGAATATATAGAGTCACTTCCTGTTGTGATGCTTGTCCATGGACGAAGCCTACCCGAGCTTGCAATAAGATGGATGTTGGTAGTAATTTGTTAACTGCCTATAATGAGGATTTTGAAATATTATTGTTTTTTTTTTGTTTTTTGATAAAAAAAAGAATTTGAGATAAATAAGATGGTTAATCTCTAAATCAAGATCAAATGTTTTGTATCTGATAATTTAAAATAAGTGATTATAAATTATGTATTTGATATGATCTCAATAAATGATCATCGAATTCAAATTTAAAATGTTTTTATCGAAAAAGATAATCGACTGAAGCAATCAAGTGAATATTATTATTTAAAATAAAAAATTTATGTTTTATCCGCTGTGAGTGTGTTGCGGGAAAATAAATTGTTCTTAATATAATAGTTTTGTTGGCTAAATAATTTAGCTTACGGTTTAGAATACTTCAAGCTTGGTAAACCAAATTGATTAAAATAAACCCACCACAATTTTGAGCTCTAAAAATCATAATTTTTTTTTTCTAAATTTGAGTTAAATTCGAACACGCATATTTGACACTTTTCTATATCAACATTTGAAATGTCAATTAAAATTCTAAACCAATTGTCATTAAGTTTCTTCTACTCCCATTTGATTAATTTTAAAGAATTAAAGGCTTTAAACTTTAAAGCTTGCTATCTTATAAATTGTATGATGTTAATGGTTATGGTTATTAAATTAATCACAATACTTAATTAGCAAATGAACGACAACATATATATATATATATATAGTTGAGTGAGTTATAGTTTTTTTGTTATTCTCGCAATCAAATATTTGATTGAATGATTGATGCATGATGATTGGTCGAACAACATGATTTTTAATCCCCACCCTCAAAAAAAAAAAAATTACTATGCTTCTTCTAATCTAACCCTTAAATATAGAAAAAAAATTATAAAACTTCTTAAAATAAACCATGAGCAAGATTTGATAAAAGCAGCAAGGAGTTTCAGAAAACGGCTAAGCCGTTAGGTTTCTAAGTTGTTTCCCGCTTATGTCATTTGTTGTCCAAGAAAACAGGAACAATAATAGCATATATAACTATCAGCCCCCTTAATATAAAAGGACAAAAAGAAAGAACAAAAAATAAAAACTGGTCATTCACTCAAACAAATTCTGACCAGCTATTAATGCGAAAATTTTGTAGGGGAGTTATCAAAACAAAACTTTAAACCAGTTAATCTCCCCTACCTTTTTTTTTCTGTTCTTTTCATTACATTGCATTCCCTTTGTGAGTTTCTTCCATATTTTATGTGAAACTTGACAGGGAAATGTCCTTTTGCACATCTGATCAATCAAGGTTCAGGTAAGGTTTTTTTTTCTTCTCTTGTCAGGAGAAATGGGTATCCTAAGATATGTTTTGTTGATGATATTGTTTTTGTTGTTTAATGGTTTTCTTGTTATGAAGATCGGGCGTTATCAAATTTTAGATTTATGGATTTAAGTGATCCTTGTCACATCAAATGACACAAATAAAAAAGATATGAGGAAATCTTTGAGTTGTAAACCTGTGCACCCCAGGAACAAAAAGGTGTCTGATATCAAAACTTTGATAAGAAAAAGAATGCGTTTTGATTGTTTCTAGCAAATGATCAATATATGATCAGTTGGTGTTATGGTTTTTATGTCATATATTCATGTTACATTGGCCATTGGATTAGCTAATAATCTTGTAAACAAATTTGCAGGATTTTTAGAAGCAAAATGATCAGGTGTTTGCTTTTGATTTCCCTGTTGATCCATGCCTCTTTAGCAAAAAAACAAGATCAACCTACTGAGCCTCAGGCTCCTCTCAAGAAATGGCTAACTTTAAGCGGTAACATAAATTTTTTTTCCCAGCAGAGTCTAGTCTTTTCTTTATTTTTCTTCCCCTCCTTTAACAAATATGTTTGGTCTCCAGGTGACCCACCCCTGGTAATTGCTCGAGGTGGATTCTCAGGGCTTTTTCCTGAATCTAGCGCATATGCAAATGACATGGCCAATCAATTGAAATTTACGGAAGTGGCTTTGTTCTGCAACCTACAGCTGACAAAAGATGGCATTGGCATATGCCTGTCAGATATCAGGCTTGATAATTCAACAAACATAGGAATGATCTTCCCAAAAGATCCCAAGTCCTATAACATTAACGGACAACAGGTTAAGGGTTGGTTTGCTTTGGATTACACATCTGATGTAATAATAAGCAATGTTTCATGTAAGTCTCAAATCTTCCTACTTTATTAGCAATATCTTATTTCTCTATCCGAAGGAAGAATGTCGAAAGAGAGTCAACTTGGTACAAACTTCCTAATAACTTCTGTTTTGGCATGTTCTTTCCCTGGCAGTGGTTCAAAATGTATTGTCTCGAACAAATGCATTTGACCGTCAACTGCCGGTATCTACTGTTGAGGATGTCACAGGAGTTAAACCCACAGTGTTTTGGTTGAATGTTCAGGTTTCATATTTCTTTACCAGCTCTTTTTTCTTGTTCAGAGAAGATTTTCTCCATGAATGAGATTAACTCAACAGCAAAAATGACCTCCCTAATTTGTCTGTTCTCTTTTCGCAGTATGACGCTTTCTATACAGAACACAAACTCAGTGTGTCAGGATACCTTGAAAAGGCTATGAGATTTATGGGAATAAATTTCATTTCATCTCCTGAGATTGGTTTCTTGAAGAACATAAACGGAAAGATTAACAGAGTCAGGACAAAGCTCATCTTTGAGTTCCTTGATCCAGATGTGGTTGAACCCACAACCAAGCAAACGTATAGCTCAATATTGAAGGATCTTTCAACCATCAAGACATTTGCATCCGGAATTCTTGTCCCCAAAGGATACATATGGCCTGTTGATGCAAACAACTACTTGGGAAATCCTACTACTCTTGTGGCTGATGCTCACAAGCTTGGCCTAGAAGTATATGCTTCTGGTTTTGCAAATGATATGCCAGGAAGTTACAGTTATAGTTATGATCCAACAGCTGAATACTTGCAATTTATTGATAATCCCCAGTTTACGGTTGACGGGTTGCTGACAGATTTCTCCCCTACAGCAACAAACGCCATTGGTGAGCTTATTAACTGCTGTAGTGCTGTGCCATATTTCTGTTTTAATCACAATTCTTATAAACATATAAAAGAAAAATCAGTCAATCAGTGAAAACAAATTAAACAATTATAGCATGAATTGTGATTAACCCCCTCCGAATGGTCTTTTTGATGCAGCATGCTTTGCCACTAATGAAACCGCCAAGCCCAAGAAAGGTAAATGCTAAGTTTGAATCCTTCAAATAAGTTGTCTTTCTATAACTTTAAAAAATAATCCTTTTAGTACCATAAATTTAGGGATACTTGAAGAAAAAATATAATGTTTGCCTGCGATTTTGTGCATTTACAGGGAAAGCTTTGATCATAACTCACAATGGAGCAAGTGGGATGTATCCTGGTTGCACTGATCTCGCTTATGATCAAGCAGTAAATGATGGAGCTGACGTAATAGATTGCTCAGTCCAAATGTCCAAAGATGGAGTAGCTTTCTGTTTAGATTCAGCCGATTTGACAGGGGATACTACTGCAATGCCTACCTTCGTGGCTCGCTCTGTCTCCATTCCTGAAGTTCAAAAGGATAAGGGAATTTTTTCATTCGATCTTACATGGAGCGAGATCCAGACCTTGAAGCGTAAACTTCTTTAACACTTTCGCTACACGCAGTCCTACAAGTTTGATTTTATAATCTTCTAGCACATTCCCGCTAATGATATATCTTTCTTTCTTCAGCCCAAATGGTGAGCCCTTTTGGACAAAATGCTGGCTACCAAAGGAACCCTGAAGCCAAGAACAAGGGTAAATTCATGACACTGGCTGACTTTTTGGAGTTTGCCAGGGCAAAGGCAGTTTCTGGAATTTTGATCAACATAGAAGTAAGAATTTTTATTTTTCTGCCACTCCTCTTCCTTTTCTTTCCTTTCCACAGCCATAATCATTCACCTATAGGGGAATCTGTTGAACTTTATAATTATGTACATCAATTATGCCGGCTTTCATTCTGTGACAAAATCCTAACACTGATGCCTCTCCAGAATGCTGCTTACCTGGCATCGAAAAAGGGTCTCGGCATAGTAGATTCTGTTACAAAAGCCTTGAGCAATGCAACCTTTGACAAACAACAAACTCAACAAGTCTTGATCCAATCAGACGATACTTCAGTTCTGTCCAAGTTTCAAATTGTCCCAGCTTACAAAAGATTGCTCCGCATTAACAAGGAGATAGGTGATACGCCTAAACCGACAGTAGATGAAATCAAGAAGTATGCTGATGGAGTAGTTGTCACAAGACCTTCCCTGATATCAATTGAAAATGGCTTTACTAAGGCTCAAACGAATGTTCTCGATCAAATGCATGCTGCAAACATCTCAGTATATATCGCTGTTTTGAGAAATGAATTTGTTGCACTTCCATTTGATTTCTATGCGGATCCCATGGTAGAGCTTGCTACTTATGTTGCAGCACTAGAGGTTGATGGGGTTATAACAGAATTCCCTGGAACAGCCAGCAGATATATGAGTGAGTGATTCAACCATAAAATTTATTTCGTGCTATTTTCATCATGTCAGAAGTTACAAACTGAATATTTTTCATAACTACAATTTTGCTTTGGTGCTGCAGGGAGCCCATGCGTGGATCTCAATGGAGAAATTGCCATCATACCCGCTGAACCCGGTGCACTGGTAAAGCAAGTTCCTGCCATTGCACAGCCACCAGCAAATCCCCCCAATCCGCCGCTTGAGGTTAAAGATGTTGTTGACCCTCCACTACCGCCAGTAACCAATCTATCATCCTCTACAGCTTCACCGGGTTCCCCAGGCGCTCCAGCACCTTCTTCTTCAAGTGGCTTGACAATTACCACCAACTTTGGTCTTTGTCTAGCAGCAATTATGGCACTCCACTTACTCTCTCTGGGACATTGACCTTAACGACTATTAACTCCAAAACTTCGATTTTCTTTTTCCTCCTTTTCTTTTTTTTTCTACAGCAAATTTTGCATGATTGATTATTGTGTTTATTATCTTGATATTTCATGGTTTGTATTCATAGCGAACAAACAGCTGGGATAAGTTATCATGAATTTCATATGAATCTCTGATCCGTATATATGGCCTTTATCTTCTTTCCCTAAGGGATAACCCATAAACCGGTAATAGCAATAACTTGGGTTGGAAAGGAACTTGATAGTGTTGTTGACTGAGTCTTAAATGGACATCTAAATTTTGGGTTGGATCTCTCCCTTTCAAGAGGTACCTTATGATAGTAAACTCTTACTATGAAAATTCATGCTTTAGCCAGAGAAATTACAATTCCGCATCACATCCAACTGATTAAAAATAATTTTTCCAACTTTCAAATACCCATTAATATGTGCCAATGGTATCCCCCACCAGCCAGGAAAACTCAAACCAAACAGAGAAAATGGGGAAAAGGGAATGGGGAAAGGAAAGGGAGGCTCAGATTCGCCTTTTGTCAGACAGGTAAAGGAACAAAGTCGGTGGCTGCAACAAACCAGAGTTGCCCCGCCAAGCTACGGCCTTTTTTCCTCAAAGTCTGAACTTTTATAAGCAAAAAAGAAGTCATCATAGCCCCATTGCATCCTTTTCGAGAGAGAGAGAAGAAGAAGAAGAAGAAGAGAAACAATAAAACAGAAACAGAAGAAAAGACAATGATTATTATGGAGACTGTGTTGGGGGATAATTCGCAGAGTGCAAGAGCTTGAGTGTAAGAAGGGACAAAGGGATGTCGTAGATAAACGTTGAGAGTGAAATCATAGGCTTCGCTATCAATCAGAGGAGAAGGAGCTACCATCTCCCCTGAGAGCAATGCCTCATTCTTAAACTAATGAGCCTTTCAGAAAACCCTAGGCCTTCGATCACCTACATATATGCTTTATGTTGCTTATATTTTCGTTTTATTCCACAATTATCCTTATACCCCTCCTAAAGGGAGAAGGTGAAAGACCAAAAAAGGAGTGATATTCTAGTCATTTTACATCGGTAAGAGGGTGAAATAAAGTTTTTTTTTTTACAAAGATCTTAATTCAATGGCGTAGTGATTGGTTATTCAAAGTTGTACTTTGTTTTGTAAAATATTTACCTTTTCTCATTGAATTTTCTTCTTCAGAGGTCTCGGTTAAGGATTGGTCCTTGTACAGTACTGAATCTCCTTTTGGTTCGAAAGTATTTTCTTGGAAAAACAAGTCATTTTTGGAAAGAAGTAGGCTAAGGTTTGGTTTTGACTTTTGATGGAAGTCAAAGTGAAAAAACCACCTCCGCCATGGCCGCAACAGATGGTTGCCCGTGAAGAAAGAACCCAAACCCAAAAACATAGTTCTTTTAGTCGGTATGTAACTGGAAAGCACTGGACCATGTTGGTTAGAATCGGTCATTCAACACAATTTGGAGAGAAGACGAACATTTTGAAATTTATGCTGACAAACAAAATTTGCAAGTACTAATTTACAAGGTGAACAATCACCCCCAATGGAAGGTTGATGTCCTGTAAATTGAATGCCATTTACAAGAATTGTTGAAGAATAGAAGAACGAGTAATAGAAGCTCAAACAAAATTGAAAATCCTGGAAGCACCTCTATACTGGCTTCGAAGAATTGTTGCATGTGCTTTTACCACTGGACATTTACATGGCCTCTCTGGCCCTTTGTTGAACTGCAATTTTGTTCAAGACCTCCCCTGCTGAGGTAACAAAGTAGGTCACCTGCAGTAGAGTGATTGGAAGATGCATCAGTCATTAGAGTTAGAGCTTTGGCAAGAAGAAAAGAAGATTCACACAACCAACCAAGGCCTCATTGCAACAATGGACCATACAAAAAATTTATGGATACCTTAGTTCAAACACCCATCCATAAGACTATTGGATGAAAACTATCTAGTTTGATTGCAGCATCTTTACCATGGATGAGGTCTAGCATTAGACTGCTGAGCTTAATAAAAAAAACGAACTTTATGCATAGCATTATAGTCTATAGCAGCCAATCCAACCAAAATGAGGAAAAAAAAAAAAAAACCAAAGTTTTTGTTCACGTAAAGTTACCTTTGAGGGATGCAAGAAAATTGACAGGTCGCTTCCCCTCTTCTCGCTGCGGCGCCTGAAACTTTCTACACTTCAACTGGACTTGGCTTTCTAAACCCAAATTGGTAAGGGTGTATAACCACCAGACATGAGCCTGCGTTCTCTTTAGCTTTCATCAAGATTTTCTTTTTTCATTTTGCAATTTGGTCAATCGATTATACTGGAATAGGAAGAACGAACACTGCCAATTTGAGAGGAAATCACTCAGAAAATTATTCCTTTTTATCACTTTTTTTGTAAACTTATTTCTCAAAGTACAAAAGGAGCTCTCCACACCGTGTTTCAGCCTTCAGGCTTTGCCGCACCAATTGTCAGAAAACAAATGTAAGGAAAACAAAAGAAAGGAGAAATTTGAAAAAGTCTAATCGAGCTAGATATACAAATAATGGTACCAACCATTCATATATGCCACCTTCTCCAAGTATCTTCTCTAGCCATTGCAAATGCAAAGTATCTCATCTGCTCATTGGTTAGCACCAATTTTTCTTCAAATCACAATTGAAAGCTGTAATCATCAATAACAAGTTACTCACCTCAACTCTGATGCGGTCAACTTTCTACACAGGCCAGAAGAAAGGACCCTGTCACCAAATTTACTTTTCTCGTGTGTGACCCTCATCAGTCATCACACCCAGACTATATGATCTGAGCAACACATCTCAATTTGACACTAAATGGAATATGTGCCACCATTTTGTGACTAGTTCAATGTTACATTCTCTAGTATATACACAGTATTGGAAAATTGGAAAAAAAACGTACATGGCTGGCAGCATTGCTACAATATAATAGTACTTTGATACTAATAAAACTGTAGTAGATACCCATCCCTGGAACCTTTAGAGTAGCCATTTCAAAATATATGGCATGACAAGACCTTTGGGGTTAAAGAATCAGGGGAGGTACACCTTGCAACACAGCAAAAATGTAGGTTACTTATTCCACTGTTAGTTGCTAATCCACCTTCTTTTTCGGGCTGGCCTCTCCTGTTTAATCTCTGAATCTGCAGGAGTTTCATTCTTGGCTGAAGGTAGTGTCTCGCTCTCCATCTTCTTTATTGCCACGGCATCTTTTTCCTTAGGCATTGGAAGTTTGAACCTCTCACTTCGCTTCTTCAGCTTCTCAACAGTGCCAAGGTGCCGATCCTCCAATGGTCTTGTATCAGCATCTTTGATCTCTGGCTCACCAACACCTTTATCATCACACAAAGAATGATGGTTCTCAACAGGCTCAACTGACTTACCAGGTTCATCTGGAATTTTGTTAGATTCTGAAGATCCCACATTATTAATCTTCTCAATCTCCTTGAACTTTGAGGAATCTGATGACTTGCTGTTGCTACTGTAATCCCTCTCCTTATGGCTTGTCCAACGCTCCAATTTTGAGCGCCCTCGTTTTGAGTCTTGCTGTTCGTCATCTGAAGAAGCATCTTCTCTAAGTTTTCTGGAAGAGTTATAATGCACTGGGTTCTCCTTCTTCTCATCACTTTTCAAGCCCTAACCAATGCAAAGGGTAATAATAATAATAATAATAATAATAATAATAGTAATAATAATGATAACAGCAATTATAATTGTTATAATTATAATAACAATGTTAATAGATGAGTTCTGTAGCAGGGCAATTCCATCAGTTAATTGAGAAGGGATGACATAGTTAACAATTAGCCAAATAGCAGTCGAATACATTGTCTTTATGGTGGCACATGAAAAGTTCAAAAACCAAAGTGCTAACCATAGGTGTTAAGTTCAAATCTCAACTTTCCTTCATATTCAAATTAGATCATGTTATCTGAAATCAAGCTTGTTATCAATGATAACTTATCATTTTCTTTCAAAAGTACAACCTTTACAAATTAAAAGGAAACGTTAAAATAATAGCAATTAGTCTACAGAGTTTAAGAAGATTTACTTAGGAATCCTTCCATTCCAAATCCCCCTGATTTTTAAAAAATGAAAAGTTGAAAAGTCTCCCCCATCACCTTGCCTCATTCCAAACAAAATCTTAATGCAAATGAACACAACATTAAATTCATACCCAAATAGCAGGACTATAGAATTCACTTTGCAGGCCTCAAAAATGACAAAGATGATGACAGCCAAATACTAAGGTAAAAACAAGTTAATAATAGATAAACAGAAAAAATCATGTCCAAGGTGCCAAGGAATTATAAACAGCAGTAAATTATTAGCATCAACATCACACCAAGTTTAACATGAGATAATGAATTTGTTATTAAACATTGCTTGCTGAAACTATTGCCAAAACTGATTGCATAACCATGGACATTGGGATCGTATGCTGTGTTTTTGTTGGAGCATTGTAAAAAAATTGAAATAAAAAGCAATAGAGGTAATGACCAGGACAATAAGACTGATATCAGAGACTAACACTACTCAGTAAATCCTCAGCACATGCTTAGGACCATAATTTGAAAAAAAAAAAAAAAAAAAAACACTGCTTCCATAAAACGTATCTACCCTAATGACAAATCATATGCTTGGCAAAAAGATTCATGAATTGCATAGCTTTAAAATTACTCTCAATCTAAAAGCAAATATCTTGGACAGAACAATTGTGCTCGTAACAACACACAGTCCTCCACACTCTTAACAGATATATGCTGATTAAAAGATGACTCAAAAACATAAATGATCAGGTAAGTAAAATCAGAATCTCAGTTTTGAAGAAACTGAACCAACTTTCAATAGAAGAGTTATCTTTATACGTGTATGCACATGTATAGGCTCATTTCCAGAAAATTGCTGTGGTACTTTTCTCCTTATTACTAAAGAAACATTATGACCTTGAGTCTATGAAACATACCGTTTCATTGTTGTGACCAGTTAAATCTTCTTGTTTTCTCTTGGTAGAGCCCAAAGTGATTGGATCTCCACCTTCAGATTCTCTATTCTTCCTAGTGTTTTCTTTATGTTTCTTCTCATGCCCCCTTTGGCTATCTGAAGCTTTGACAGCATGGTCACTCCGAGTGCTTAACCTTTCCTGCCTGGATTTTCTCTCATCACTACTAAATTGGTGTCCGCGTGCATAAGAATCTTCACGCCCTCTATGGCGTGAGAAACTTTCATCAGCATTCCGATCCCTTCTCTTCACCTGTTCACTATGGCATACAGTCTCTTTGAGTTGGTATTCTTTTTCAGAAACTTTATATTCATCATTTGCCCTGGTATGGGCAACCCATGCTTTGTCTTCTGAACCACGGCCACTCCTCACAGTACCTCGTCCTTCTTCTCTCTCCCGCTTTGATAAACTGTCATCATGGGATTGCTTTAGCCTATGCCATTCATCCCTCTCCCGCTGCCTCTCAACCCTCTCTTTGTGCAACCAGACCTCATCTTTGTGCCGTACTGAATGATGTTCATCAAACTTGTCTCTAATTCTTTGTTGCTCATCTCTCTTACGCGGGTCTAAAATTTCATCCCTTTCTCGCTTCCTGCGACTGCTGCTGGATTCTCTGTGTCCACGCAAGATCTCCTCTTTGTCTGCATAGTCCCTCCTCGAATACTCCTCATCTTTCTTTCTTTTGCTGTGGTAATCTTCTGCTGCTTCATACCTACTCTTCAAATTATCATCTCTTTCCCTATGTCTTGCACTGACATCCTTATCATAATGAACTTTATAACTGCCATTATCCAACTGTTTTCTAGAAGGTGGATAATCATCTTTGTCACTCCTCTCGCTTTCTCGAACCTTAGCCCTGTTCCTAGAACCCATTTCCTCATCACGCTCTCTCTTCCATAAGTCCTCAGTTCTACTTTTTCTGCCGTAAAGATCATCTTCTCTCTGTTGCCAAGTACCATCAGGGTTGTCACGCTCCCTTCGCCTATCAAACCCCTCTGCTTTAATGTGCAAATTATGTGACAAGTTAGCATCAAAGGCTCTAAGAGGATAAGAATACTCTCCAGGTTTAGCCACCATCCGATTTCTTTCAATCTCAGGTCTCCCATCACGATCTTTTCTCCGGAAATTCTGATCATGATCATCAAGATGCTTCTTGACAATCCTAATGTGAGAAGAACGTCCACCTTGAACAACTTCCTCCTCGGCACCATCTCGCCACTTCTGATAATCTCTGCTGCTGCCAGATCTTGCTTTGCTGTTTTCACTACTTCTTGCAGCCCTAGAATCCTCATCATCGTCAAATTCTTGAAGCTTCCATTGCTCTACTTGAGAACTTAATTTTTCATTTTTCATGGGATCAAGCGAATTCTCATCTTTATGGGTGTCATTTATCAGCTCATCCTTAGGGCTTCCATCAGCTGGCTCAAGTTCATCATCAACATCATCCTTCTGCTCCACACTTATCTCCCTCGCATCTCTAACTAGAAGAGGAGATTTACCATCCACGCTTTCAACAGATTCTTCTTCATGGGCATCACTGAACTTATCCTGTTTACCTTGAATAGGTGTCATGCAAGGGGATCTCTCACGTGCTCTTCCCTGTTGATGCCTGCATGCAGGAGAGGGTTAGTGGAATTTATTCATGCATATGTAGTATTAACACCTCAATAATAATCTAAGACATCAAGCTAACAGAAACATAAAAACAATCAAAGACAATTAAGTAAGAAATCCTTGCTCAAAGTCACAACCAGCCTTTCACATCAACTTGATGAAGTAGCATAGTGTCACAAAAAAGCAACAATATAAATGATATTAGATAATACTATTAACTTTATCCAAAAGAAATGACAATAAATTATTTCAAGGTTCATACCTCTCATCACAAGGGCTGCCAATGTTTCCACTAGGATGCACAGGACTCTGACCCCTAGATCCAGGGCCGTATGGACATGATGCTCCTGCAGGGAAGGGCAAAGTCCTGTCGTCTTCAGGTATATTAATGTGAACAGAATTAATAGTCCTCCTTCCACCTAGCTCCCTCTTTCTACTATTATAAGCATCTGGAAAACCATCAAAATATTCAGTATCTTCATCTGCAACATCAGCTTCAGATGCAAGATCTCCTCTAAGATCCTCCCTTGGCGGATCATTTTCTGTTCTGTCTTCAACACCATTGCCTGTGGAGGAATCATCATCCAGAGTATCCTGACAGATAATCTGTTCACACAATTAAGAGTTAAACAATTTTGCATAAGCAGCCATAGACACTAAATAAGACTTGGGTTAAGTGCAATTGAAACAAGGTTTGACTGCTAACCTCAATAATTGCATCTGAATCACGGATACGAGGTGGCCGTGTATCAATGGAGGGGAGGCGTTCCCCATAACCTCCCTCCACCTGTATTGCTCTCCCAGTTGGCTGGTACAATAAATAAAATAAATAAATTATTGCACAGATAAAAAGAAATAGCACAACGGCCTACAATACAGGAATTGGTAATTACACTCATAACAAAATAGTTAGTTAATATCGGACAGCAAGGGAAAAGAAGATACAGATACAAATAAAGCACATATCTTAAGAGCTGAGGTCATGTTTGATGTGTAGGATTATTGATAGGATAAGATAATAATTATCTTATATCATGTTTGATTTGTATCTAAAGATAGGGATAGGTATTGCAAGTAGGATTAATATCCTCTTGACATAGGATTATTCAATCCTCCCCAAGTAGAGAGGATCATTTTTAATCCATTGGACTAAACTTACATGTCCAATTACAGCCTTAAAAATTATATCAATAATTTAAATTATATACATTTTGAAGAAGGATAATTTTGACAAATAAATAAATTATCCTATCCTAATTCTTACACACATCAAACACAAAAGAGGATAACTTTATTTAATCTAATCCTATTTATAATACTATCTTATCTTATCCTATCATAATCTTATATACTAAACATGACTTAAGAGTACAAGATAAATATTTAAAGGGAAACTACAAGTACGGTTGAAGAATCTACATCAAGCATGATGGCTTTTATAGTTATAATGCATGTACGGTAAAACCAGCAATTGAAGCTTACCAGTGGTGGTCGCACTCGAGCAGTTCCTTTTGTCACGTCCCTTTGTCCACCATCTGACTTTCCAAGATTAGCAGCATTAGCTGAAACCTCTTGCCCAGTTGCTGCTGCTAATTCTGGAGGCAAATCTGGATCATAATCCTAAAAGAAAGCAAGACAATCATACCCTTAACAGCAACAGCAGAACAGCAGAAATCATGCCATCAATCCAAGTACTTAACTGTTGAATGGAAACTTTTTTTTTTAGATATGCATAAGCAACCAATTACCTGCTCTGTTCGCCCACTTTCATAAACACGAATTTTGCTTTGCATGGTTGTCTCCAAGCGGTGTTGTTCCTACATGATTTTAAAATCCAACCTTCTTAGACCTTAGTTCCCACAAGAATGAAATTAGGTATCATTAAAGCTAATAATTACCAGTTGTTTGCAATAATCTTTCCAGCCCTCCTCACTTAGACCAAAGTTGAAGAAGTCAGCAAGATCAACACCAGGATATTTCCATGGCTTTTCCTCAAAACTATCAATATCAACATCAAATATGGTCCTGGAATCACATAGGTATTAATCATAAATTAATCAGGCAAAACCAAACAAGGAAATTAAAAGAGTTTGCACATGATATTAGAAGAATGAAACATAACAAAGTTTGACAGAAGCCAAAAGGCATTCTGCAACAAGAAATTTGTCTCCATTTTCAGCTTCTACAAGCCAATATAAAATGGATTTAGTATAACATGCAAAAAATTCACACTATCAACTAACATTAAATATTAACATAATAATAGAAAATTGAGCAATTACTTGTGAGAAGGAAGCGTAAATTCCAGCCCACCACCAAAACCTCGTCCTGCCATATTGTTACCCCAACCAGGCATTCCAAAACCCTTTTGCATGGGAGGACCAGCTTTCATTCCAGGTGGTCTCCAGTCACCTCTACCACGACCAGCCATAGCACCCATGATTGGACGAACCTGACCTGGGGCTCCTCCAGGACCTCCTGCAGTGGCTCCAGGCATTGGTGCTGCACCAGGTCTTACATACTGCATGTAGCAGAAAATAGATCACAGCATTAATCAGAATCCAAAGTGAACAAGCAGCATAAGCCCATAAGAAAAGAAATGGGATGATCATCTAGCAAAGCAATTTTTTCTCTTCTGCAATAAAAATAACAGATTACAACAGACGATCAGAACCTTGATAAATATATAAATATGCAGCTTGTTAAAATAAACTTTCCATTGGATAATACATTCAAGACTAAGGTCAATTTTTTTCATTGTATCACCAAACATTAAGTTGTAAGTAAAAGAGACTGCTAAACCAAAATTTCTTAAGCTAAATGAAAATAAGAAATTCAATTAATAGCTTGCACCAAGACAATATACAAATAAAGAAACAAGGACATCAAAGAATACACTGATCACAACATAGAGCTAGCAATGTAATGATGGTATCTGGAAGAGGGAATAAGTGGCAAATGAATGGCGTAAGATAATCGACAAGGAAGAAGTTGCAGCACATACGTGTGCAACCAAAATGTCAAGTACAATAATAAATCTCAAGCTGTAAATCATTTAAACTCTGTGACATAAGCAATGACAAGGGTTAGGTAAATCGAATCAAGTGCTGTGTGAAAATGGTTAGGAACAAGTATGAATAGAAGTATATTTTCAGCAAAGGTTAGCAGTTGATCTTGCATTTCAAGAAACAGATAACATTGCGCTTCAATTTGCAGAGGTGATGTTACTCTCTACAGTTTCATCTGTGTTACCAATAGGCTGTGTGAACTTTTTCTTTGCAGAAGTATCTGAATTTGATCTAAAGCACAAATTACTTAACACAAAAATAAACAAATAGTTCTGAACATAGTTGCTAATCTCTAACAGCTCCTATAGAGAATTATTGGTGTAGGAGACAAGTGAAAGATTAATGGACTTATCTTCACATATTACATAAAAAAATGAATTAACTGTAATTGCGGTTCTGTACCTCATCTGCGAAGGTTTTACTATTGAAACCATTAACTAAGTACCCCAGAACATTTGAAAATCAAAACATATGACCAAACCCTTTTTCTTAAGTTGTCAGGTTCAAGTTTATGATAAGAACAAAGATGAATCAAATAACCCTTTCTTACAACTTAAAGGTCAGAATCAGCCAACAATACATCTAAAATTTTTTACCCTTGAAATAAGTGAGATTTTGAGCAAGCAGAAACATCCGCAAGTTAATATAGATAGACAAACTTCCGAGACTACGACGAGAACGATCAGAGGCACACCAAACAGAACAAAGGTTTATTTTACAAATAATCATCATAATGATTTCTGAGAGCTACGTTATGATCTTCAATATTCAAATATAATATCAAAACAAAAAATATGGCAAAATAATCTCCACCCAAATCTTCGCTATTTGACCACAAAAAGAAAAAAAAAACTGTTATTTATCATTTCATTCTGTACAAAGTTTACAAACCAAAAACTATACTAAATCCTAATCATTCATCAAACAATTGGGCATTGTCTTTGTCCAAATGTTTCCAAATTGTTTGATTCAACAGCAATAACAGCATCAACATGTTAACACACTGACCTTAAACTGAGAATGAAACGGATGGTACCCATGATTGCTGTACCCAATTTTTGGTGCAACCACGTTTCCTCCGCCGCCGCCAGCGCCACCAACCTTCCCTGCTTCTCCCCCTTCTTTCCTCTCCCCATCCGCCGCCTGCCCTCCTTCTTCACCCCAGTCCTGCTCCTCCATCCCTTGGTTTGCATCTCCATCAGCCACTATCACAAGCGGGTCCCCATCTTCATCGTCGTCGTCATCATCTTCCCCCATCATTCCACCTCTTTCCATAGCCAGGGGGCCGTGGTTGTTATCGTTTAACACTATCTGTAGATCATCTTCACTGTCACTATCCCAATCACCCCCTTCTCCATCGGCTTCCACTTCACCGTCTCGAATTCTGTTATCGCTTCCTTTGTTGTTCCTTCCAGAATCTTCCTGGCCAACCGATTCGGTTAAACCAGGGATTATCGGGTCCTCTGAGCCGATATCCTCGACTCCATCACTAACCCTATCTTCAATATCAAATTTAACGTCTTTGCCATCCGCATGCTCATGTTTATAATCCAGAACCATTGGTTGGGGAGCTGAATCGCCGCTAGGGATCGAATCCGGTGCTGCAGCAGCAGGGGGAGGAGGAAGAGATTTAAAGGGTGCTAGGGTTTGGGTGGCGGAAATTGAACGTGAAGCTCCGAAGAGGGTGTTAACATCGTCTTGGGATTGAAGATTGAGATCTACCGGACGATGGAGATATGCGGGTGTAGGAGAAGGCTGGTGTGGTTGCGGAGCATCCGATGACGACGAAGTAGTCGTGGTGGAGGTTGATGAGAAAGGTCTGAGAACGTCCGTGTACAGATCTCCGAACTCATCGTCATCTTCCATCGGAATTCGTTAAAAAAGGAAGAGAGGCTGAGACAGAGGAAAAAAAAAATAAAGGCAGAGTTAGGGAAGAAAGGGTTTTGATTGTTTGTTTGTTAATTGTTGGCCTTCTGCCTTTGTTAGAGGCAGGCTTTTATTTCATTTATTTTCTTTTATCTCCTTTGAAATTTCTTCTTCTTTTTTTATGGTTTTATTTATTTATTATTTTGATGAAGAGTTTAGGCAAGTGTTTTTGCCTACAAAGTTTTTTGCCTACAAAGTTAATTGGAAAAGAATATAACTAAATCAATTAAAAGATTAGAATCAACTGACTTTTTTGTTTTTTGTTACCTTCAATCTATTTAATGGTGGAAGATTATGAAAAAAAAAAAAAAAATTGAAATCAAAGAGCATGGTCAACACTAAACTCACCTTAAGCATGGGTATGTGGCTTGATTTTTAGTTGTGCAACATTTATGGCTAGCACCCATGAAAACTAGTAATTGCTTCCAATAACCTATATGCATTATGACATGAATACCTTATATTGCATTTATTTTTTGGAAGGGTTTCCTATATATTTGAGAACTTGTTTAATTAGGGGTAGTTTGGTAACATTTTCATTTTTTTTGCTTTATTTTTTGATTGAGAACAAATATATGTTTGGTAGATTATTTTTGTTTTATATTTTTGAAAATTAAAAATAAAGTTTTGAATTTTGTTGAAAACAAAAAAAAATTATGTTTTCAAAATTTTTAAAACAATTTAGTACAGTTACAACTGTGGCATTGTTTACCCGTTTGACTATAGTAGTGCTACAATTTAAAATTTTTGTTTTTGGCGAGAATCAAATCTTTTTCCTTCATAATTTAAAAGCTTTAAGTACTTTTACCTGTTTTTATTTTCATATTTTTACAATAAAAACATTCCATCAAAATATATTTTCAAATTCAATAAATTAAAAAAAATAAAACAAATATTTTAAAAATATAAAATACACAATAATACTAAACGACCCCTTATTTATTAACATTACTTCAACATGAACATAAAGTTAATGTCAATTTCAATTTACAAATAATAAAAATTAAAAAGAATTAGATTTTTTTTTTGAAACGGGTTCATGATGTGAAAAATAAAAAAAAATACCAATGATGCAATTTAAACATTAAATTTATTATTATATTTTTAAAAATGATTGTATGAATAATTAGATTACATCTTAATTAATAATTAAATGATTTTAAAGAATTGTATAAACCTTTTAATCCAAATGAAATTACAAAAGAAGAAAAAGGAAACATCTAAAATTAATTTGAAACAAAAGCAATTCAATTATAGCTAAAAATAAAAAAAATATATCGGTGGATTTTTGTATTCAATGAATGAATCATGATAAAAGAAATCTAAAAAGAATGATTACATGTAAAAATGTACAAAACATTTACTGTTTAGTTTTAATAGCTAAAAGGAAACAAATTTTGAACTTGAGGGTTCATTTTAAAGAAATAAGATAACATATAATATAATTTTCGATAAATATTTGATAGAAATTTACGAGGAAAATATATCCTCTCGAAATGATTCAAATTAAAAAATATTTAAAATTTAAAATAATTTAAATTTAAAAAGATTCGAATCAAAATTGATTTGAGAATTTTAAAATATAAAATAACTTAAATTAATTTGATTCATATTTAATTTATGTTGCTTAATTGAGTGATTTAATTTAAATTTAGAGATTTGTTTAATATTTTCATTTAAACTATTTATAATAAATTTAAGGAGGTAACTTAGTATTTTTATTTTTTTCATAGGTGCATGTAGAAAGCTAATAATATTTGTATTTATGAATTATTAGAAATTTAAATTTAAAATTTATTAATAGGAATTTTTAATATGAGAAAAAGTAAAAAGATAAAAAAAAATTTGAATAAAAATTTAGTAATTATTTAAATTTATAATATTTTATTATAATTAATCAAAATTTAAAATTTTTATATCAGATCAATTGAATCCTTAAATATATATTTTCATGCAATTAATTATTAAATATATTTTTGCACTTCAATGGAGTCATATATTAAATAAAAAAAAGTGTTCATGATTAATCAAATTTTATTTAATAAAAATTTAATTTATAAAAAAATTTAAAAACCTAATTAATTATAATAAAATAATAAAAACTTGAGTCATTGTTGAATTCTTATCCAAACACATTTTTACCCTTTAACCTAAAAGATAAAAAATAAAAGAGGGGGAAAACACATGGGCCGAGTGCGTATGTTCGATCCGGAGAAAACCAATTAGACCGGCGGTTCAAGACGAGTTGCACAGTGAAGTCCACGCATATTCGCTTGGTGTTTCTCATGGTTGATTGCCTGATTTCATATATATATTTTTTTCATGCAGTTTATTAGCAGCCAAACAGAAAATTAAAATTTATTTTTACAATAGAAAATGATCGGAGTCGGGAAGATCAAGCAATACTGCAACGTCCTCGACAAGTCTCTCAGCAAGGGCAAACAGGAGGTTCCCTCTCTCTCTCTCTCTTCTTCTTCTTCTTCTTAGAAAGTAAGCCCAGCTTCAGATCTTCGCGGAAGTTTCACCTTGTGTTTTTTTCTTTTTTCTTTTTGTTGTTGTTGTTGTTGCAATATTTGAGTGTTTTTTCTTTCTTTTAACTGTTATTTTGTCATTGAATTATTTGAATTGGCCATTAAATTAGTTAAGAAATTCTGATCCAATCACACGAATTAGTCTCAAAATTAAAAAAAAAAAAATTTGTTGAGTTCCTAATTACTTTAGAAAATAGAAAAAATTTAGATAAAATTGAACAATCTGAATCAGCAGTTTCTTTTATTGCTGATTTTGTTTTTCAATTTGGAGTAAAAAATTCCAAACTATTGACTGTGGTGCTTTCATTGCAGGTTAGCTTGAGTGCATTTGCATTCTTGTTTTCGGAGCTTGTTCAGTACAATCAAACACAGGTTGATAACATTGCTGAATTAGAAAGAAGGTAATATGTTCACGTTTGATATCTCTTTTGTTGAATCCTTCCATTGCCAACTGACAAGTGATTGAGATTAAACTATTTATTGAAGAAGATAATGGAAAAATGAAAGAAAAATAGAACAAAAAGCTCCATATTTCAAATTAAAGCAAATATTGGCATGATGCTTATTTCAGTTAGTGGTTCTTCTATTGTCAATGAATCTAATATTATTCATGGGAATGGATCAGGCTAGAGGATGCAGGGTATGCTGTTGGGGCTCGAGTTCTTGAACTTTTATGTCATAGGGATAAGGTACAACACATTCACAGACTCTACTTGAGACTCCAATAGCATTGTGGTTCTGTTTATTCTTTATTTGCATTCTCAAGGTATTGCTTACAAGCTAGCATGACCTTCTTAAAGTAGAGTTTTAATTCTGCTAATAAGGTGAGAACGTCATGATTTAGTACTAGGATGCCAGCCTTACCGACCTTATATGCTTGGTGGTCGTACCTCAATTACATTTGCTTTCATATTTTGTATCATGATTTGACATTTGTATGCAAAGATGTGTGCTCATTTGTATGAACATGTGTATTCTTCCATGGTGTCTTCACCAGAAAGAAACCTATGGTTTTTTATGCCACAGGGGAATAGAAGGGAGACTCGATTGTTGGGTATTTTATCTTTTGTACACAGCACTGTCTGGAAGGTGTTATTTGGAAAGGTAAGCCTGCAAAATTGTATATTGGTGCAACAATTTAAAGTTAGATTATTGTCAAAAGGAATTTGTGTATTTTCCTGTAGCTATAGCGTGACAATTCTAGCTGGCTAACATTTTCAGCATATGTTTACAATCAGTGTGGTCTCCAATTCAGTATTTCTCTTACCAAGTCCATTTTGTACTATGTTAGGTGGCTGACTCACTTGAGAAGGGCACTGAACATGATGACGAATACATGATCAGTGAAAAGGAACTCCTCGTGAACAAGTTATGCATTGGCCTCCACTTATCACTTATAATGACATACCACTTATAATGACATACGTCAAACTAACTAGATCTCTGGTTCTAGATTAATAACCAACTGGTCTGTTTGCATTGTAGGTTTATTTCAATTCCGAAAGACATGGGGACATTTAATTGTGGGGCATTTGTTGCTGGAATAGTGAGGGTAAGAGCTGCATTCTTTTTATGTATAATATGATTGATCATCTAGTGGAACAAAGCTCTTATATGCTCCTTTTGTTGGTTGGAAGGGTGTTTTGGATAGTGCAGGATTTCCAGCAGTAGTAACAGCTCATTTTGTACCTATGGAGGGACAGCAAAGACCCCGGACAACTATTTTGATAAAGTTTGCTGAAGAGGTAGGCACTACTCTTACACTGCGTCTAATATCCCCACATTAACTACAGCCTGGTGTGCCCAAGTGCAGTTGTGCCGTTTAATAAAAGCATTTGATGCTTGGTATTATGTTTGTGATTCTTTCAATGATATCTAGCTTATTTTTCTTCCTAGTTTGTTTAGGACTGGGGTAATGTATAAAGTCGGTTCACTCATGTGGTTAAATCTCTATGGGATCAAAAAAAGTATTGTCACTGTAGATGTAATTAATGGACTACCGGTTTACCCAAAAATAATCATGAACTACTGGTAGAGGATCAAAGTAGTGCTAATAGAGAGAGTTGTTTCATATATGACAAAAAAAAAAAAACAAAAGGAGTAACTAGATAAGTTGGGGCTTGGTTGTCAACACTTATTTCAATATATACAAAATATTAGTTCTCATTCTCTAAACAATAGTTAGCTGGTCTTGCAAGTGTCTTTGTCTTTTACTTTTAAAAAATGTTGGGCACTGCTTTTGCCCGTTTCCACGCTAAAATATTTCAAATACTTTTATCATCATCTTCATCACAGCATGGGAGAGGAAAAACGTCCACATATATTCTTAAATTATATTTGAAGAAGGATTTTAGAGCCTATTAGAATATGCTATTTGTTCTTGTTACATACTTGATTCACCACTGCTCCCTTTTTTCTATAACCAGGTTTTGCGAAGAGAAGCGAGGTTAGGTTGATTACTATACCTGGGTTAACTTGAGTTCTCCATGTTCAGCAATACCGGGAATGGAACGGTGAATTTCTGCTGGTTTGTTGATCTAACTAGGATTTTACCTGCCAATCACACTGACAAATCTGAATTCTTTTCTCTGATTAATGATGGTTGTGCATTGTTCTCTATGGTACAGTGGTTACTGTACGATATCAAAGATTATGGCGAGTGCAGTTGATGTAAAGTGAAATGTCATCCATCATTACCGTTAAGTTTTTTTTTTTGGCCACAATTATTACTGTTAAGTTTTGTGTTACTGGATAATTATTGAGGTAATAGAATTTGAAGGATTTATTTCTTCATCGTTGCCTACCTTTCCCAGATCGGGCGACATAGACAAATCTAATGCGCCAGTTGGATTTCTATTATAATAAAGAACATTCCAACGGCACAGCAAAATATATAGTTTCAGAGGGTCCTATGAATTATGAAATCTTTTTCCCCTCCCCCAATTTCGCTTTATATGCTTATTTTGCAATATATAGGAACATATATTATTAATTGTGATGATGATCAAAGAATCTTACCGTTTATCTCTCCTAATCATGCTGAGTTTGCTTTTTCAAAGCTGCAATTTGATACTGCATCTGCTTTGCAAAATGGCAGCATATTAGTATCAAATGTCACCAAGTTACCTCGCAGTTGCACCTTGGAAACACTGAACTGTGAGACCATGAATTAATTGCAATGAAAGACATTTGGATAACGTTATCGTAGTAGTAAACAAACACACGGGAAAAGCTCAAAACCACCATGAAATTATCCTTCTACCTATTTATTTGAACGTAATTGCTCAGAAGAAGACCAGGCCAGGATTTTGGAAAGCAAAGCTTACAAACAGACAGAAAATCTCAGGAACATGAGAGCCATGTCCCTTGGTCATTCTAAAACATTTCTTTGACTATTCCCTCCCACCCTCTTTGATGACCAGCAATGAAATGTTATAATCCCGAACATCATAATAATAATAATAAGAATAATAATAATAACAATAATAATAATAATAATAATAATAAAAGAAATGACAGATGTGTAAGATAGGCTGATGATAAGAGAGCAGATAGAAGGAGATATTATTTCATAGTTCTTTGATATTTAAGCAGTATTCTGTCCATTCTCAACACCAAGACCATACAACACACCAGCATATTTCTCAGTCGAACCTTTAAAGAAATTTTCTTTCAGTTTCATGAATGTACAACAAGTAAGCAAACTATCCGAACCGGCTTGGTGACAAATACCAATCCTCTCCACAGCTAACAGCTCTGCAAGCTTGTTCAACCCACCATGAAGGCTATTGCAATACTTCATCAGATGCTTGATATCATAAAGAGTTGGGAAATATATCTTGATCAAACTAAAGAAGCCTGTTTGGGTATCGGGAAGATTCTTGCAAGTAAGCAACTTAAGCAAATACCCGAAATCATAACCACTATGAAAGGTCACCCAATGCACACTATCATTCAAAACAATTCCAGATGACATTAACAGTTCACTGAAGTGATGAGCAGTAACACCCTTTTCCTTGTTCTTCTGAAAATCAATGCCACTTTGAGACAAAAGCTCAATGGAGTCATTGGCATAAACATCCTCATTGGGATCGAATTCACGGAAATTGAATTGCCAAACACAGTATTTTTCAGTTCCACAAGTAGGTAAATTCCCATTGGCATCAGAGAAAGTAAGACCCAACTGAATCAATTTCAAAAGATCAACATTTGCTTTCAAAGTTTGGTAATTGTAATCAGAACTGCTCTTGAAATTGCCTATTGGGCGAAGAACAATACCCGGGAACTCAGTGTCCATAGCAATGTAAGGGAAATCGTCCACAATATTTCGAATTAACTCGAATTCACATGCCAGATTCTCGTCCCAAACTTCCCTTATATGGATTGATTCACTTTTGGGTAAAATCGACATCTTTCTTCACCAAAAAAGGAACAAGTTTTTATTCTTGGACAACTAGCAAAAACCCAGAATTCCCACAATCTGCAATAACAACATTAAAAACTAATAACTACCCATTTCTCCGAATCAAAAGAAAACAAAAACCCATATCTTGAAAAACCAATCAAAGTCTCGAAATAGATAAAGAAGGTAAAGAACATGAGATCTTACCCGGGAAACGTTGGAGCTGACAAGTAAATGTCAGATTGGATTCGAATCGGAATCTGTGGTGTAGAGAGATGAAATGGATGATAATAGGAAGAGAGTTTTATGGCTTTTATTCTTAGGAAGAGGACAACTTGCGTTTTGGGTAAAAAATTTTCTTTTCTTTTTATTTAATGATTAATGGGATGGTGAAGATAAAGAAAGCTTTTATCCAAAAGCTTCCCTGTGCTTCACATTGTAACAAAATCAACATGAAGAGAAAAAATTATAGAGAGAGAGAGAGAGAGGACAGAAAGACCAGGCACTTTATATCAGGGGGCTTTATACCGATACTTTTCACTTGCCTTCTCTGTTTCAATTCTCAGATACTACTTTTGCATTGACAAACAAATCTGACGCCATGCACTCAATTATTGTGGTCTTGATCCAGTGGACCAGCACTATCTAGATATTTCCTTTTAAAGGGTGGGGGGGAAAACTATATTTGTTATAATTTGTGATATAACTGTGGGTTCATCACCGCTTTCATAGCTCAGTTGGTTAGAGCACCCGTTTAGTAAGCGGGAGGTCTTGAGTTCGATTCTCAATGAAAGCAATGGCTTCTTCTTTTGCTCATCCTAAATGGGCCGGATTTAATCTGGGCCTAAATGTCTCTTTTTATTCCTTCGGTTGACAAGTTCATCATTTTTGTAAGTCGGTGTTGGCCACTGATATCAGCTATAAATCCCCAATCCGCCATTTGTAAAATCCCTAATTTACTCAAAAAATCTGCCCAAAGAAATGGATCTTCAAGTCTTCATCCGATCCCCAAATCACCAAACCCTGACTTTAACACTAGAACCCACCCAATCCCTAACCCTCCACCACCTCAAATCCTCTCTTCTTCCAAATCCCCAATCGCTATCCTCCTTCTATTTTACCCTCAATGGAAAACCCCTCCCCGATTCCACCCTTCTCCCTAATCGCCAAATTACCCATCTCTCCACCCTCTTCCTCCTCCCCCGCCTCTCCGCCGGTGGAGGCGATGGCGGCGCCACTGGAGCTGAGTCCCGCGATTGTTATCTCAAGATGTACGCCGTTAAAAAGCCTGATAAAGTCGACCCGAATGAGCAAAGGCTCGGTAAGTGGCTCAATTGTGCCTTATCTAATGAACCCTTAAGAGAACCTTGCGTGATTGATAAATTAGGGAATATTTTCAATAAGGAAGCTCTTGTTGAAGCTTTGTTGGGTAAGAAATTGCCCAAAGAGTTTAGACATATAAAAGGTTTGAAAGATATGATTAATATTAAGTTGTCGATGATACCTGGGAATGAATCAGATGCTGCTGATGGTGCTAGGTTTCAATGCCCGATATCGGGGCTTGAATTTAATGGGAAGTATAAGTTTTTTGCATTGAAGAATTGTGGGCATGTGGTTAGCGCTAAGGCTTTGAAAGAGGTTAAGTCATCAGCTTGTTTGGTTTGCCATAAGGAGTTTGTGGAGTGTGATAAGGTGGTGATTAATGGTAGTGAGGAAGAAGTAGCAGCCTTGAGGGAGATGATGGAGGAAGGGAAGGCGAAAACAGTGAAGGAGAAGAAGAAAAGGGGAATCGATGTTGTGGATGGGGAAAAGGGTTGTGGTAAATTGGAAGCGAATGGAAAACTTGAGAACGGTAAGGGATTGGGTAATGGCGGAGTGAAGAAGTTTAGAGCTGCGGATGTGGCACCGGCTAATGCTACTAAGGAAGTTTATGCTTCTATATTTACTTCCTCCAAGAAGTCAGATTTTAAGGAAACTTTCACCTGTAGATCGCTCCCGATTGGTCGAAACTGATGGTTTCAGCTGTACCATACTCATGGTGATCTGTCGGTATTCTGCTTTGTTTGTTCATGAATGGAGACTATTCATGTGTTTTGAAGTTGCCATTCCCTCATTGTATTTTTCCTTATTTACTGAAATTGAATTGTTCCTGTTTAACCTAGAATTCTAATACATATCTAATTTCAATCTTGAATTGCCATAACATGCTTTATTACTTGCTTCAGTATGATGGATCTGGATAGGCTGTATTATCTTTATATTGTGGTGTTACTGAATTTGAGATTTGAGTTTTGTTCCTATAAATGACACATGTTGGTTGAGTTACATCGTAGAGGAAACCAGTAAAAGTGAATCAACGGTAGCTTTTTCAAAACATGAGGTTTTGACAGTAATCAAGATCAGTCTTCAGATGAATGTGACTTTTTTTTCTTTGTCAATTTGTTGCTCTCTGCATGACAGGGTTTCGGTAAGGATCAAAGCATACTGCCGCTGGAACCTATTTCTTTGTTCTTTGTTCCATATTTTTGCTAAGATTATAAATCCCCAATTGCGCTTAGATCACCTAGATTATACAACAGCAAAGCATTCTAATACCTATTCCTGTTATTACCAGATTTTCTTAACCAAAGTTGAAGCTAGTATTGATATTAAACAAAGTGGAGATGACCCCAGGCATAAAAGAAAGTGAAGATGTAAAAAGATGTGTTCCATGGTTTTATTGAATGATTAGAATCATATAATCATGTATATTAACCCCCCATGCAAGAAAAGAAACACTATCTGCAAAGAGGTTTCCTTTTAGATAACTCAAAAATTAATATATCTTTTAAGATCAAGGCCAGGAAGGCAAACTTGAATCTTCCTTTTCAGCCAAAACTAAGCCAACCAACAATGAATCGATTTTAACTTCTTTTTTTTTAATTTTTTTGGGTAAAGGTAATAAAATTGTCTATTAATTGTGATTCTGTTTTTTATTCTTCCCAAATCAAAGAACCAGTTAATAGACAAAGCAAAAAGAAGCACAAAGAGGGCTAGAGAATGGGAATTTAGCCCACTTTGGCCCAAAGAATAAACAAAGCAAAAAGAAGCCCAAAGGGGACTAGATAGGACTAGATAATGGGAATTTAGCCCAGAGAAGAGGAAAACAGCCCACTTTAGCCAAAGAATAGAGAAGAGTAAATCAGCCCAAGGCCCCATCAAAGAATAGGGTTGGCATATAAAATCTCCACTTCGCTAAACCCTTGGCATTCCTCCGCCACCCAGCTGCAGATTGGCTCTTTAGGGTTTCTTCACTTTCAGGTTAGCGCCTTTTCATCGTCTTCTAATTCTCCTGTTGTGTTTTTCTATTAATTCCTTTGATTTCTGTCAACAAAAATACTGAAGAATGAAATATTCCTTTTGCTTAGCTTTCAATGTTGTATTAACTTAACGATCTGCTTTGTTGACTTTGTTTGGTTTCTCTTTTGCTACCAGGAAGCGGAGCCTCTGATCCCAACTTTAGCTCAAAAGATGTCTGGGTAAGTGATAACCTATTCCTCTGTAAAGGTTCAAGGCCATGTTTAGTAAAATATCTGCGTTATTTCCATGAAATTTAACCTAGTTGTTGGGTTTGTTTTAATATTTCCATGACATCAAGTTGGTTGCATTTTCACTGTATAGACTTTGGGTTTAGTTTGCGTTAGTGTGGAATGAATTGTTGTGGTATTTATTGTATGCTAATACATAATTCAGTGTTTTATTTGAGATGATTTACCTACTTGTTTGAGTCATTGTGTGTTGTTCCAGATTTGTTAGAAATGGGAAGTATCTTAGACTGTAATATGTATTTGTTTTTGCATTGATAGGAGGTGGAGAAAGCATTTCCATTTTGTCCCATCTTGAGATTAAGTCTTATTGCGATTCCATTTTGTCAACAAAATTTGCCCTTTTGATGCCTTTAAGCCCATCATTTTCTCCCCTAACCTTTGTTTCTTTGATTTTCATAGCTATTATATTCCCTTTTTATTGTGTCTGCATGTATTTATGTTGTATTATTGCCTATTGCTTTTGCAGAGAAGAAGTTGCAGTTGCCCAACCCGAGGCAGCACCTATTCTTGGTGAGCCAATGGACATCAACACAGCTTTGCCCCTTGTGGTGAGGAAGTCACAAGCTCATGGTGGGCTTGCACGTGGCTTACATGAAGCTGCCAAGGCAATTGAAAAGCACAATGCACATCTTTGTGTTTTAGCCGATGACTGTGACCAGCCAGATTATGTTAAGCTGGTCAAGGCACTCTGTGCTGATCATAATGTTAAAGTGCTACGTGCTCCTAGTGCAAAAACTCTTGGCGAGTGGGCTGGTGTAAGTGACATTTCATTGCTCATTTATGTTTGAATTATTTCCTTGCATTTCAGGAAATGATGAGGCTACCATCTGATGTTTTAGTATACTGTTTGTTCCCAATATGCTGTGTTGTTCTCAGTTTTGGGAGATATCTGCTATATCTTCCTTGTGAAATATGTATAAATTTGCTTATGTGAAGATATCCTTTTAAAAGAAAAGAATTAATATTAATTTGTGTCTTTGTATGATATGGAACATGAGTTATTTCTCTCCCTCTTTTGCGCTCACAAACACACCCCTTTGACTCTGTAACTTGTTCCTCAGTGAATGCTAATTGTGCTTCATCTCTGCATGCAGTTGTGTAAGATAGATTCTGAGGGGAAAGCACGGAAAGTTGTCGGTTGCTCTTGTGTAGTTGTGAAGGTATGAGCTTATACATAGAATTACATTCTAGTATACTTAAACAATATTTCTTTCATTAATGCATTTTCTTTCTTTTCACCTTATTTACGTTTTGAATCAGTTCTATTTTCAATCAATATTTAGAAAATATGGCAATGCATTTTCTGTATTTATGATTCTTGGGATTTTTAATTCTTTTTCCTGCAGGATTATGGCGAACAACATGAGGCTGTTGAGGTTGTTCAGCAGCACAAGGATTAAGCAATTGGTAGAATTAGAGTTTTTTTTCCTGGTCATTCATGATATTTAGTAAACGACAGTAATTTGCTTGATCATTTTTGTTTTAAAAAAGTTGTTGCAATGCCAAACTGCTTGGTGTTTCTTATGTTTGCTACCTTTTTCCTTTTAAATGATGTGCTTAGGACGTGGCAAACCCTTTGGAAATCCAACAATTTTATGTGATGATTCTGCCTTTTTTAACCTGTCTATCATAAGTTAGTTTGGGTCTTGCTTTTTAATGGGTGGCTAGTGCCTCGATACAAGATGTCTGATTTTTTCGCCAATAAGAACAGGGTGGGCTGGTTGGATTGAAATCATTCATGGGATTGTGGTGAAGAATTTTGAAACGCATGAGTTGTTGAGCTGATCCAAATCGAGTTTGATATTGTTTTTTGGGTCCCTAAAATCTGGACTTGGTATAACTAATCATCCAATTTTGATGTTGTTGCCAATGTTGATTTTGGCCCTGGTGTCGGTTCATGGTTTTATGCAACTATTGGCCATGCTCTCGTATAATGAGATATTAGTAGTCAGTGTGAAATTCCATGGTTGTAGAGCTTTCAACTTGAAGCCCTAACCTTTAGATAACATTTAGAAGAAGAAAATAACATTAAAAAGAACATGGTTTTTGGTTATATCTAGCACATTCAAAGGGAGTAATTAACAGACATTGGGGGAATATAATTCGTGAAAGTGGTTAAAGAATGAAGATAAGACACCCTTGCATTTTGTGTGGTATATTCACTTAAATAACATAATTTGTGACTAGCGACTCATTCTTTTTTTTCCTTAACTGATCCTAGGTCGACACGGACATTGTTACATGTTTTGGCACAAATAATTTATTTTAGAGAGCTATTCTCACGAGTTCCATGCCTTCAATTTATTACAAGCTGCATATATGCATGACCCATCCATGAAGCCAACATTTTTATCTTCTGTTTCTTCCTTCTTTTCATCATTCTCTCCGAAAATAAATGCTTGAACTAGTCTGAGGTAGAATTTTTAATGGGGATGGGGGGACACGGCCTAGTTAAGTTGGATCCAAGATGTCTGTTCTTTTCATTTTTCTCACCATTCGATAAGGTTGGACAGTTGGGTCGAAATCATTCATAGTAATTCGCTTAAGGATGTTTAATGGCATCAGCCGTTGAGCTCATCAGAATTGAGTGTCATATTTCATTTGGGTCTCTAAGATCTGGACGTTATATAAATAGATTCAGAAATTCACTTCAAACTAAAACTTTAGTAAGAAATCAATCTTTTCATTGCAGTATTTTAAGTCATAGTTATTCAATGCCTAATTGAATTTTGGTGCTGTTGCCGGTTCATAGTTTATGGTTCTAAACCTTAAGCTGGTTTCCCTTTACACAACAATTTGGGATGTTTTGTGTTCTTTTTTTTTCTTACAAAATAATTCGTAATTTGAGAATAAAAAAATAAATTAAAAGTATTATGATTTAAACTTTAAATTTTGTTAAACATAAATTAGTAATAATAATTGTATGAATTACGGAGAATTAAACTCCAAAATTCTGTTCTAGGGTGGCAGCCGGATACCACAAAGCAATTGGTTTGCATATAGATAAAGAATAAATTGGGCAAATAGAACTTTTGGACCAGCTGTAAACGCAATGTAATAAAATAATCAATGGTGATGGGCTTTTAGCTTTGATGAATGGTAGGGATGGATGTGGTCAGGTCCATCAATATGAAGGGAATAGAGGGTCAATCAGTTCTTTATTAGCATCGTCAGCACTTGTGGTCCATGAAACCTGATGCATCATTCGGATATCTACCACCTATTCTAGTTTTGTGGACTGTATCTTAAGTTGATCCTACACCAGGCAGCCAACGAGGTTTATCCACCACTACTATGATTTCTCGCTTCCAAATTTCCAGCTAACTCTTCTATGGTTAAAGCTAACAAAGTTACTGCTCTTTTCGGTTTGAAATTTGTGGTCCTTTTTTTATTTTTTTTTATACAGAACAATTTAGAAATTTCACCAGCTGTTACAATTTCCACAGATGTAAAAACAAAGAAAACACATGTGAACTGCCACACATTCAAGGGATTCTTAAAATGGCATATTTGGGATTCTTGAAAAGTCATATTTTTTATTTCGAGGAGTAGATAAAACGTGCTCAAAAAGAAAACCCATCCTCTGTAAAACCTGTGTTTGAAGTGCTGTTGAACTCCCAACAAGGGGAGGAGAAGACTTGGGGCACGGTAGTTTATGCAGGATGGTACTAGGCATGGCATTGGCACGGTGATGGTGAGGATAACAATTTGCTGGTACAAGACATGCACATCCTCAAATATAAATCGTTTTTTACCTTTTGATTTAATAATTAAGAGGTTTTAAAAAATATATATGGACGCGAATTTTAATCTCATCATCTCTTTTTTCTTTTGAACAAAAAAAAATTAATCAACTATCAGTAATTGATCTTAAAATTTAACTAAATCCTGAATCTTTTTGTAATAATCTTGAACGAAATTTTCATCGTAAAATGAAAATCTTTTCAACAGATCCATTAATTTGGCCTAACTCTTTTATGATCATATCATGGTTGAGTGTTATTAACTCAATTTGTACTATTAATAACCCAAAAATTTATAGCTTCATCGTGAATTCATGGTGCCATATCTGATATTGGTACAGCTTTGGCGACTACGTAAGGGGAAATGGGGGCACTTATGTAGACAAGAAAGTACCATTTGTTTCTGATAGCTGCACATAAGCCGAAACAAATTAATTTCCAAGGTTCCAGTTAATTAATACTTTTTACTTTGAGCCACAAATTTTTATAGCGACTGATTTGCAAGTACCGCAGGCTTCGCTTAGAAAAACCAGACTAATTTAGGTTCCATTTTTATAAGTGCAAAAGCTTACTTTTTCATGTTATACCATTATATCAAACCCCTAATTTTGGAGTATCTAAAGTCTAAACTCTAGATTTGCCTAACTTATGCACTAGGTTAAGTACTGCAATTCGAACCCGTAGCTTATATGCAGCCATTTTTTTATGACATCTAACAGGATTATAATTCAAATTCCAGCATTTAAAATTATTTTTCTGTTCTCAACCTCTTTTGTAAAAAAAAAAAAAGAACTGCAATCCAATGTTACAAAGAGTGTAGAAAGTAGTTATGCAAACATATTATTAAAACGAGCTTGAACTCGTCTCTCTGACTTGTAAAAGCATGAAGTCAAGTCACTGTAAAACAGTTCAAGCACAACAAATTAAATCAAACAGTGGCGATCAATATCTACCTCCATTTCTGCTATTTTTGTGCAGGGTAAAAGAGGAGAAAAAATCATAAGAAGTTGGAGCAGAGTCCAAGTGGAAGTAACGGGAATATCGAGGCTAACGAACATTTTAATTTGTAATCTATTGATAGGTCAGCTAGAGTGAATTTGCGAGAGGAAAAAAGTTACGTTAGAACTATTTACGTCTAACTTGTCACAACGTGAACCACCTAACCCAAAACTTTTTGTCCGAAGTAGCTGCAACCAAAGGCAAGGCGTGGCTCACCTTCTCCCTATATATATTTGTAAGTATATAGCATCAACTCACACCAGACACTCCCTACCTCTCCTTTCACTCTACCTTCCACACACTCTTCTCTGTTTCTCTAGCAAAAGTATCTTTGCTCTTGAAGCAAGGAAATCCAAAGGAAACAAGTATATTTTCTTTGTTGGGGGTTTTCAAAATGGCTGGGACTGGAATTTTTGCAGAGATATTGGATGGAGATGTTTACAAGTATTATGCTGATGGAGAATGGAAGAAGTCTTCTTCTGGGAAAACTGTTGCTATTATCAACCCAACTACGAGAAAAACTCAGTACAGGGTTCAAGGTTAAACAGCTAAACTTGTAAAATCACTGTATTCTGCTAATCTAGTAATCATATATGCCTGCTCTCGGTTTAAACTTTTCTCATATCAAGTTTTTCTTTTCTTTAGAAAGATGGGGTGTTTTCTTCATTCCTATTAAGTTTGCTGATGTTTAACTTTGAAACTTAAGTTTGCTTCTTGTGATAAAATCGATTTCTTTGTTGTTTTCTTTGTGATGCTCTATATTGATCAAGGTGATATAGTTATGTAATATGCAGGGTAGACCAGACTTGAATTATTGGGCTAATATCAAATTTAATGGCAATTTTGCATGTCTTGGTAAACTGAAGACCAACCAAAACCTAAGCATTAACAGTGATTTTATTCGTTCCTCAAAAATCAAACAGAGAAATGAGAAAAAAAAAATGTGATCTACAAATGTCTGGTGTCTTCAGGTTGTTTACTTAGTGAAATTAATTAAGTATGGTGCTGAAACAGCTTGTACACAAGAAGAAGTGAACAAAGTCATGGAATCAGCAAAAATTGCGCAAAAATCATGGGCTAAGACTCCCCTTTGGAAGCGAGCAGAGCTCCTTCACAAGGCTGCTGCCATCCTAAAGGAGCATAAAGCACCAGTTGCTGAGTGCCTGGTTAAAGAAATTGCAAAACCAGCCAAAGATGCGGTTACCGAGGTATATAATTTGTTATAGCTATTGTCCATGCACTTTGTTTAGTTCAGAAGTGAACAAATGATCTTACGCAAACCGGTTTTGATCTGATTCCATGAAGGTTGTGAGGTCCGGGGATCTGGTTTCTTACACTGCTGAAGAGGGGGTTAGGATTCTTAGCGAAGGGAAATTCCTGGTATCCGATAGTTTTCCCGGTAATGAGAGAACCAAATATTGCCTCACCTCCAAGGTAAAGTTTCATTTCTCATCCCATGGTAAATTTCTTCAAGTTCTTGTCAAATAGCATTGAATTGATACAAATTATGGTATCGATTCATTCATTGCTCCAACATTTAATGGAAATCCTTATACAAAACTCTGAGAAAACAACCTGCATGGATAGATAATGTCATCTGATTACTCATTTCCTTTTTGTTGAATGTTCTGTAAAGTGGAGAAACTTATATGTCTTCTATTAATAATGTAGCCAAGGTCCAAACTTATTATCTGGACTCATCCCACCACACTGTCCAGACTGATAAGGAGCATCATGTATGCATCCACATCTAGTGTATAAGTCGGGAAGGGAGAAAATTCCTATGGTTGTTCAATGGATGTGAGATTTTTAGTTGATCTTGATTCTTTTATATGCAGCAGGCAGGCATCTTTGCATTTGTATTTCCTGCCCATCCTTGAGTAGCATCAGCAGAGAGTTTCCTATAAGTGCCATTCTCATCTGATATTAAAGATAACATCTAAAGTACTGAAAGCCAACCTTTTAAAACGACTTCTTGAACCAGTTTTTATCCACTTCATTTGTTTTTCACCGTACTCTTTCAGTTCCCATAATTCTTTCTGTTACTTCCTTTTATCATTGAATCATCAATGCAAAGTCACAGTTCCATTTGTTTAACTTCAATGTAAGATGTTTTAGATTATAAATATTAATAATTAAGAAATGCCAATTCTGATGCATGTTTGGCTTGAGTAATTGTATTAGCATAGAGCTGGTGTAAAAGATTAACAAAATGTTAGTCCTTATTTGCTTAATCAATTTATAACCAATTAATATGGTTAACAGTCTGGACTCTTCATTGTTACTATAAATCAATTATCTTTTTTCTTGTTAATCCTTGCCATAAACTCTGAGCGAGACATGTTTATTGAATTCTACCAGTGAGAAAACAATTTCATGTGAAAAATTACTCTCAATATAAAGTATAAACATGACTCTTCTGTTGTTTCATATCTTTTATGTTTTGATGATGTAGTTTATGATTTAAACTGCAGATTCCACTTGGAGTGATTCTAGCCATTCCACCATTCAATTATCCTGTCAACCTGGCTGTTTCAAAAATTGCACCAGCATTAATTGCTGGAAACTCCCTTGTACTCAAGCCACCAACACAGGTATTTTACAAATAAACAAGCTGATAACACATGTTGAAACACATAATTGAATAGGATGGTGTACTAAAATTATTTCTAGCACAAAAAAACAAAAAATCTAAAATGTCTCCTGTAAACTTCTTCCAGGGTGCAGTTTCTGCTCTTCATATGGTGCACTGCTTTCATTTGGCTGGTTTTCCCAAAGGGCTCATCAGCTGTGTGACAGGGAGAGGCTCTGAGATTGGTGACTTCCTCACTATGCATCCTGGAGTTAACTGTATAAGGTAATTCCAGTTCATCTTGTGGACACTATTGTAGCTCCCTCATTTTACTATATAGCTAGTTATCCATGTATAACTTGCTTTTTCCTTTTGCTCAGCTTTACGGGTGGAGACACCGGAATTGCCATCTCGAAGAAAGCAGGAATGATCCCTCTTCAGATGGAGTTGGGAGGAAAAGATGCCTGTATCGTACTTGAGGACGCTGACTTAGATTTGGTTGCTGCAAACATAATAAAAGGAGGATTTTCTTACAGGTTGAAAAGAATTCTGTTAAATGTGACAACACTAACTACTTTCACTAGTAATAACATTAATATGGTCTTAACTCTTTTGCACCTACCACTACCAGTGGTCAAAGGTGCACTGCTGTTAAGGTTGTCTTGGTGATGGAATCTGTTGCTGATGTTCTGGTGGAAAAGGTGAAGGCTAAATTGGCAAAGTTAACAGTTGGGCCACCGGAGGATGACTGTGATATCACTCCAGTTGTGTCAGAGTCATCGGCAAATTTCATTGAAGGGCTGGTCAAGGATGCAAAAGAGAAAGGAGCTACATTTTGTCAGGAATACAAGAGAGATGGCAATCTTATCTGGCCATTGTTGTTAGACAACGTTCGACCTGATATGAGGATTGCATGGGAGGAGCCATTTGGACCAGTTTTGCCAGTTATAAGGATCAACTCCATTGAGGAAGGAATCCACCATTGCAATGCTAGCAACTTCGGACTCCAGGTATAGATGATAAACTTATCAAAGTGTTGAAAATTTTTCTCCGATGATAGTAGCTTGATACTGAAAAATGCATAAAAAAAATTGCAGGGATGTGTCTTCACTAAGGATGTCAATAAGGCAATATTGATCAGTGATGCAATGGAGACCGGGACAGTTCAGATCAATTCTGCACCAGCTCGTGGACCAGACCATTTCCCATTTCAGGTAAATAAAATCTACGAAACCCCACTTGAAATGCTTTTCTTCTTGGACTGGCTTCACGAACCTTAACAAATGATTTCCTAACAGGGTTTAAAAGATAGTGGAATCGGATCACAGGGGGTTACCAACAGCATCAACATGATGACAAAGATCAAGAGCACCGTCATCAATTTACCAACCCCATCTTACACCATGGGTTAGTAATCATAGTATTACCCATTAGGGAATACATAAAATATATCAGAGCCACTTATCTTAGACTTTTTGCCAGCCATATGATGTTTAGTGAAAAGGATGAATAATGGGGACACGCAAATGACTGAATGAGCAACCAGCTATATTGTGTGTTATCAAATGTATCAAAGTTTCAGCTGATTTCAGTGATCTAGTTATCATATTTTGAGGACTTAGCAAGGGAATTGGATTTGTTGTCACTGCATTGCTTCTTTTCCGAAGCATGGTTGAAGAAGAAACCAAAGCTTTGCAATGAACTGTTTGATTATAACATGTTATTGACATGTAAATTGTATGCTAGTTTTCAAGTAGGGGGTAAGTTGTGGCCTGGTTTCTTTGACCAAAAGAACAAAATGATGATGCAGGCAATGGACATTCCAAATTATGAGGGCGTGAAAGGGGCCTCCATCTCTCATCATCCTGATTCCTGCATCACCATTTGTCAATGATTTGCAAATCATGCTTTCGTTCAAATAAAACCCATTCTTAGGCCCAGATTATATTAATTAATAAAATTTGTTTACATATTTAAAAACTGTTGTGCCTGTAATTTGAACTGAAATCTTCAATTTTAGAATCGACTTTGCCGTCATTGAATTAATAAAAACTTTCATATTCTACAACCTAATTCTCATGTTTGGCTAAACTTAAATGTTGTCGCATCTCGCTAATATTATTATCAAATCATCAAACACCTTAACCAAAAGGAGTCTTAGTCATAATAAGGATACTATCTTCTTTAATTACTCTCCAAATAATTGATACTTGATAGTTAAGAAAAGAATCCCTAAGCCTTTGTTTATTTTACCTTCAAATTATTATGGAATATTAGTATTAGCATATATAAATTAAATTAAAGGCGAGTCAATTTGTGGAGCCCATATTTAGTAGGCTCTTTAAGACTTAAAACCCAAAAATAATTTATGCTTAACCACCCAATTAATGGCCCATAGCTTACTTTTTCTGTGGAACCCATCTTTTAGACCCTTTTAAGCCTTTATATAAAATATAATTGATGGATTGGATTCTCATTTCTCAAATCTAAATCATTCCATAAATTTGAACCTACGTTTAATTCATTAATTCATTCATATATTTTTAAAAAATTAAAATTAAAATTTCAGTACGTCAACACTTTCTTTTATCCTCAAATTACAGCTTTCTTTATATAAAAAAAAAGGCATAAATTTAACCCTTTTGCTTTAACAAAGAATTCAATTCTCCTTTCTGTCAATTAGTTGGTATTAAAAACTCAATGGGATTAGGATTTCAAGATTGAAATGATTTTAAACTACATGTATAATTATTAATAACGATGATTAAGTGGGCCTCACAGTTTGAGCATGCTTTTAATTAATTTAAGGAGTATGCTGACCAGAAGAAAATATAAAACTATATATATTTATGATCAAATTAAACAAGCATATTTGGCAGGAAAAAAAATCTTTAGGAGTTGACTATCACAAAGTTTTATAATGTTTAAAAATCATGTCCTTCCTTCTTTAAAAAAAAAAAAAAAACCCATGTCCTTCATTTCATATTTATATTTATCACATTAACTAAAATTGTGATCAAATTAACCCTAAGTTTACCAACATAAACCTATCTAAATGGAGTAGTGTATATATACTAAAGATACTTAGATTTAAAAAAAAAAAAAAAAAGATACTTAGATGTTATCAAAGTTTCATTAATTATGTGATTTTCAACCCTTTTCTAATATAAACATTTCGCATTTAATTCGAAAAAAGTACCTTAGCAATCCTTAATTTGGTAAGTGAAATTGCAGTTACGTGAAAAATACTTCCATCTAAAAGCACATTTATTTTACGTGCTTTTCAATTATCTTTTTCCATGAACAACTTTTTTTTTTTCTTTTAAAATTACTTGATCGGCTTCTCCTTTTTTTTTTTTTTTTTAAGATTATTTATAAAAATTTGCTAAGTCTCATTTTGATTGATAAAAATAAACCAACTAAAATGAATCTTCACGAATAAAGGGCAACTAGCTCGAATATTTGATAAAGAGCTAGGTTTGTTTGTTCGCAGTAATTTAGTGTTGAAATATATGATGAAATGAGCGATCTCATTAATCGAATTTAGCATAAAATTGTTGTTTGAATGATTGATTCAACGTAAATGGAATTGGAATTTTCTTTTTCAAGAAATTTTCATTTCCTTCATCCCTTACTCCATATATATGCTATACCACATGTTACACGATTCAGGACATCCATTAATGTGACATAAGCAAATTATAATATTTTAATTAATATTATATGACGTCAAAACTACATGCATAGACTTTTAAAACACAATATCTAACAGATATAAAATTTATATTTGATCACTTTAACTTTTATTTTATATTCTCAAATTACAACCTCTCTTACATAAAAAGAATAGGCCATTTTAACTATTAATCTTCCTCTTAAGAAAAAATATATTAACTAGTAAAGTAAATAGGATTAAATTAGACTCTGTTTGATAAACTGTGTATATATTATCATTACAAAGGGGAAAAAAATTTTTAATAGAAAAGCTATTGGTTTAAAAAGATAAGCATGTTTTAATTTGGTTTATAATTGAAATGGGGTGGCAGATAAATGTTTAGGATTAGTGGGTGGGTATGAGGTGTAAAGAAAAGTGGGATATGATTGGAACAAGACAAGGACATATACCTACAAAACCAAAACTCTATATCTCTTTTTCTATATTTAATTTCTTGAACTGGGTTTGATCCTCTGTCTTCAAACCTTCAGGTTCCTTTCCACCAAATAATATTTTTATTATTATTATTATTATTTTGTAAGCCATGATCCTCAATCATGTCTTTAAAAATTAATTGCTTTTGTATATGTTAATGATCCTGTTTTTGATGAGTTTTAAACATGATTAAAACTTAATTATCCTCTCTGCCTTTAAAGTTGTAAAATGATTAATTAAACTGTGATAAGGCAATCAATTATTGGGGGATTTCAAGATATACTTGCTAGCAGTAAATATGTGATTTAATATGTGAAAGGGCCGAGCAGTGACATTGTAGAAGAGATGTTGAATTTCTCAAGATTATTATTTTTCAGTTGACTTTAAAGAAAAATGAAGTAGAAGAATCAAAGGGTTTTTTCACATGGCACACGTATGATGCAATTAATGAAGGCAATTTTGATGAAATTTTTTTTTTTTTTTTTAATTTCATTTGTCCAAAATATTAACAACAAGGCGTCGCTATATATAGGATGATATTTAAAGAAAAAATATATTATTAATTAATTATTAAATTTAGTAAAAATAATATATAGACATCCGTTAACTCTTTTAAAACTACCTAAAGAGATAAAAACCTTCTTTCTGAAATATATCTCATAGATATTAAATTTATCTTTTGAAAGTATATTTTGAAATAGGAAGTGATGAGAAACTACGATAAATAAAAATTGTTATCCACCATGCAATATTCCTGTCTTGCAATGAAACTCATGATCATCACCATCGAGTTGTATCAAGATCCACATGTACATGTGATCAGGTCTTGATTTTCTTGATTTTCTTTTGTACATAAAGAAATGAAAGAGGGAACGTTGGAGAGATCCTAGCCAAGTTATTTTTTTATTCTTTACTGCAAACCCATATTTCCAATTAGTATTTCTTATTGGAAATGTAATCTTTTAGGTTGGGTCTAAGATATATGCATAACTTTGTGTCTGCTAGCCATTGTGATTCCAATCCAATTAATATATATTTATACAATATCACATTCTACGCGTTTTTGTGAGTTTTTTTTTTTTTTTTTGAATTATTTTAACATTGAAATATAAAAAAATAAGTTAAAATACAACAACAAATCGGAATTTCTAAATTGATAACATAAAAAATTATGTTCTAATATATATTATAGAAGCAAAATTTTGATATATTATTCACTTATAATTTATTTTATTTTTATTTTTCACACAAGATTCTTTAGGAAGTAAATCTCGAGATAATAAAACTTGTACTGTTAAATCAGGTAAGCTATCAGTAATATGATTTAATTTATTTGTATTTATATTATTTAATGAATATATTAAACTTAAATTACATTAAAAATTAAGTACATTTATTTATAATTAATTGAATTTATGAATGTCATAAATTCATGAATAATTAAGTTCATAAATAGTTTGATTCATTATTTTGGATTTGATTTATAATTAATTAATAGTAAATATGAATTAAAATTCAAAATTTTTGAATGACATAAAACATGAAGTACATTTTCTATAATTAAATAAATTTATAAATATCATAGATTTATAAGTATATAAGTTCATGAATAATCAAAGTATAGATTAATGTTATATTAGATATTATTAAGTAAACCTTAATGATATATAAAATGTTATTTTGAGTTATATGGAAAAACAAAAATGATGATACATTGCACTTGAAAAAGAAGAGGCTATCTTTCTTTAAAAAAAAGGGTTCTTTTTGCATAATTGGGGGAGGAAATAAATACTTGAATCTTATATCGGTTTTTCATTGAGAAAATGAATAAGCTAGGTGAATGCATTGTAGTAATTGGGACATAATTATGTTGAAAGCCATGCCTTAATTAAAATGAAGGTTCTAATAATTGTTTTTTTTTTTATCATTAAAAATTTTAACTAACGAATGTCTAAAGATAATTTTTTTTAAAAATATTATTTTTAATAATATTTTACATTAATTATAATATAAAAAATTAATTTTTAAATTACAATGCATCGAAAGAAAATGTACATACCGTAATAATATTAAAAAAATTCCTTAAGACACTTGCTAACGAAATCTATTATTAAAATATTATCGTATTTGAATTCGAAATTTAATTTATAATCATTTATAAGATATTTAAAAATTAAAATTTAAAATTTCATAATTTTTATTAAAAAATACAAAATATTTTTTTCCTTTGAGGGAAGGCAATCAAGCTACAATCAGACCACTTTATTTGCCCATTATTATTAAGACTAGAAAAAAAATATATATTAAGCATTAGTATTTTGCCTGTAATTTTTAGTTGAAGTTATTTTTTTTCACTCACAACTCAATTATCAAAAATTTGTGATTGATTAAAACAAATCCCTTATTATCACTCTAAGGTAACTGATTAATGTTTTCAAAGTTTCAATGTTCACCTGAATATGACTAAATTCAACAAATTCACCCGAAATTCAGGCCAAAACTTAGTTATGAAAATGAGAAAAAGAAAAAAAAAAAATTGTGCTCGGCTAAATTTTGGGTAAGTGGGTTTGCAAATCCCTACTCTCGCTTAGGTTAAAGGAAAGAAACTCGCTTTCTCTGGACGACACAGTAGCCGTTCTGTATAACCAGAGAAGAGCTGGAAATCATGAGTTTGTTTTGTTCTTGCCAACAAGAATGTTGCTTTGAGGATAATTAGCCGCGTGAGATTATTAATTAAGGGTAGTTTCGACAATTCGTGTCGAGTTGATAGCGAACCCTAGTGGGATACTGGCCGACCACGCGAAACCTCGGAGGTCATTATGCCATTCCACGCGATTACTTTCACCGTGCACTCAACTCACATATGAATATGTAGTCTTTTTCTTATCGAGTACCTTTTTTTTTTTCTTTGAATGTTTAGCCCGTAATAATAATGAAATTAAAGATATTTTTGAATCATCAAAATTTATTTATAATACATGCATAAAAAATTTAATAAAAAATTTTAAATTTAATTTAATTAATTTATATATTTAATTTTAAAATAATTTTTAATAAATTTAAAATTTAAATTCAAATACTTTCGATCTCTTCTTTTATATAAAAAAAATATAATGAAGAACTTTATTGATATTTAAGAAATTTTTTATGAAATTACAAATATAAAAGAAGTTATAATAATAATAATAATAATAATTATTATTATTATATATTAAAATAATATATAATATATTGTTAATTAATTAAAATATAATTAGACAATCAAAAAAATTAAATTTAGAATTTTAGGATTTTAATATGTTTAATATATTTGATAATGTATTGGATAGTGTATAATTACAATTAAAGAAAAATTTCATTTTTAATTGTAAAAAATAAAAATAAAATTTCATTTTATAATATGATAAATATGTATTTAAATTAAAATTTTTTAGAAACGATCTTAAATATTTAAATTAATCTTTTCTTAAACACTCACAATGATAAATTATAAGGACATGAAAGTGAGCCACGCGCTGGCACTGGGTGGCGTGACAAACGAGTGGCTATTTTGGGAATTAGATTAAACCTGAGAGAGGGATGATCAATGAAGAAGCATTGATTGAAGCAAACTGAGAACAACACCCAAACAAAGCTAGTCTAATATATAACAAATCCAAATCCAAACCCAAAGAAACAAAGATAAAGAAGAGGCTCGTCCCTTCATCTTCACTCGACAACAAAAAAAGAAAAAGCAAACTTTTCATGATTCCTCTTGGGTTTCTCTCTTAGTTTCCATTTCTCTAAAAATCCCTAACAACAACCAATCAGCCTACAAAGTATAAACGCTTCCACAAAACTCTATCTTATCTTACTCTATTTTATCCTTTTTTTCAAGGCCTTGTTTTTGAGAATTATGCAGCCTTGTAGCCGGGAAATGCAAGCTATGAACTCTCTTCTAAACCCAACTCAGCAAATCCCTCTCCAAGACCTTCAAAGCAACGGAAACAGCAACGCCCATCAACAGATCCAAAACCCACAGTTCGATCCCACGTCGCCACACGATGACTTTTTAGAACAGATGCTGTCGACACTCCCTTCTTGCTCATGGTCCGACCTCAAATCACCTTGGGACCCACCTAAATCTGATGAAACGGGTCCTCCTAATCCAGATAACAATGTTGGGTTCCACTACGATGAGATTCTAGCTTCCAAGCTTAGACAACATCAAATCAACGGCGGAGGAGGCTCTTCTTCCGCTGCTGCAGCTATGAAGATGATGATGCAACAGCAGATGATGTTAGAGGGAAGAGCCACCGCTGCCGCTGGTGCAGGTGGAGGAGGAGGGTTCACGATGCCTTTATCTTTGGGTAGTGGTGCTGCTGGGTCTCATCAGAACGACAATATCGTTGACGGGTCTTCGTTTAAATCCCCTAATCATCAGGTTCACTTCAGTTTTCAATTCTCTTAGTTTCCTATTTGGGTGGTATATTGATATGTAGACGTAATAATGAGTGATCATTTTTTTTTTTTGCAGGGTGGAGATGGTTCCGTTCAAGCTTTGTGTAATAGTTTTGGTGCGGGATCTCTGCATGGAACTAATCAGTCATCGAACCAGTTTCAGCATTTTCACCATCCTCAGGCACGCCTTGTTTTCTCTTTATTTATTATACAAAGATAGTAATACAAACAAAACATTAATGAAGTAATATTCATAGTGCCTTTATTGCTCAGGGAGGGAATATGCAGGCACAAAACTTCGGAGTTACAGCAGGAACAGTGATGAACCAAAGTCAGGCAAGTGGTTCGACGACCGGGGGTACACCGGCTCAACCTAAACAAAGAGTTAGGGCAAGGAGGGGTCAAGCTACTGACCCTCACAGTATCGCTGAAAGAGTAAGAGAACTCTTATTAATTCTGTTTGTGGGTTCTTTCCTTTTATTCAGTTTTCTCTTCTTTGGGTTTGCCTGCCATGGAAGTTGATGAAGATTTGGTTGTTTTATGGTACAATACAAAACAAAGGAAGCTCAAAAATGATTTTATTCGATCCGTGTTCTGAAATGATGTGTATTGGCAGTTACGCAGAGAGAGAATTGCAGAGCGAATGAAAGCTCTTCAGGAATTGGTTCCCAATGCCAACAAGGTACACTTTTTTTTTTCCTTTTTCATTTTAACTGGAAGCTCGATAAGCTCCGGTCTCCGGGGAAAACACTATAACTCTCCGGTCAATGTTAGGTTACTATAAATCAACAACATATGGACAGGTGTCAGAAGAAGGTTAAAATAATCGTCACAGTACAGTGTCTTTAATGTTGCTCTGACTTTAATTTTAACAATCGGTTTTGGAAACTGGAAAGTGATATAAGTTGGTCCCGAACCTTACTCCAGGAAGAGTGCAGTTAGGAACCGAATGTATCGGGATTTTTATTAAGCTTCATCATATCTTTAATAATAATTTAATTATAAGATTAGTTGGGAAAAATAATTAATCCCTGTTAAGTATATGTTTATGTTTTGATCATATATTTAAGCTAATTGATGAATAGTAACAAGTTTTGTGATCTGTTGGGCGGTGATTTGTGGAATGACAGACAGACAAGGCTTCGATGCTTGATGAGATCATCGACTATGTCAAATTCCTCCAGCTCCAAGTCAAGGTTTCCTCTCTCTTTCTCTTAATTTTTTTTATTCTATTCTGTTAGTATATATGACTTAAAAAATAACTTTTTTTTATAATTGATTAATTACAATAATTATAAAGGATTCCCTGACCTGGTTGACATTGTTTTTAAGATGAAATATTTTAATCCAATTGTATGGGCCTTCTGAAAATAAAATTCCTTTGCTGCTCCTCGATCCCTTTTTGCTGTTTCCTGGACAATACAGGTTCTAAGTATGAGCAGATTGGGCGGTGCAGCTGCTGTTGCTCCCCTTGTTGCTGATATGCCCTCTGAGGTAAACCTAAATATTACCATTTGATTTTTATTGGATTGTTAACCTTGGTAATTTTGACTCTATTTTGTTCCTTTAACCAAGAAAAAACAAACAAAACCTTACCCCATAAAAAAAAAAAAGAAAACAAACAAAAACAAAAAACAAGGTGGTTGGTTTCCATAAAAAGAAATAAAGGAATGAGAGAAAATTACATGTCATTTTATGAAAAAATGAAGCATCGAAAAGGCTGCTTGTCTTGTTAAAATCACACTCCCTCACTCTTCTTCTCAAATCCGACCATTCCTCAACCACACCGCTACACGACAAAACAAAAGTAGCACGCGTGCCCCCCACTTTCATAGATTCCTCTCTCTCTTTCTCTCTCAAACTTTTCTTTTTTGTAGTAGTAGTAGTAGTATCTCTTTGAAAAAAAAAAAAGGACAATCATAAAAGAATGCAATGTGTTTTGTCCTTGTAGGGAGGTGGTGATTGTATTCAAACGAGTGCTAATGGCAAGCAAACGTCGTCACCTAACGACAGCCTAACGGTGACGGAGCACCAAGTGGCCAAGCTGATGGAAGAGGACATGGGCTCCGCCATGCAGTACCTACAAGGGAAGGGTCTCTGCCTCATGCCCATCTCCCTCGCCACCGCCATCTCCACTGCCACATGTCATTCCAGGAATCCCATGATCAACAATGCAAACCCAAATAACGGTAACAGCAACCACCTGCTGCTTCAATCCAGCGGTGAGGGGCCTTCCTCGCCTAGCATGTCCGTGTTGACTGTCCAGTCAGCCACAGTGGGTAACGGCGCTATTGACGGCTCCGTTAAAGATGCTACCTCTGTCTCCAAGCCATGATAACGGAGTTGACTGACTTTTTTCTCGGTTTATAAAAGAAAAAAGTTCAATCTAAAGGAAAGAATGATTTGTGGAGGTAATTTAACGGCAGCTTTAAGTCTAAGAAACTAAGGTGGTCTTGCAACGACGCCGTATTTACTTAGACTTTGGCCAAAGCCCAAATCTAACCTCAACCACGACATCAACAAAAAACAAACAAGGAGGATCACCCAACTCCTAGAACAACTTTTATTATTATAATTAAATAATTTTAATTGTTTTTGGTTTAGGTTCTTTGTATTTCAATCTTCTCTTGTTTTTGGTTGTCTCTTTATTTTATTATATATATATATTTAAATTTCAATTTGGGCTGTCCAATGCAATGCAACATCAAAATGAAGGGTATTATTATTTTCTTAACATGGAGTCGATGATGTTGTTGGTATTTATATTAAATTAATAGAAAATTTAATTTAAAATTTAATTTAATTAATTTATGTAAATGATATCTACCAAATTTAATATTTAAATATCAATACTTAAATTTTTTGTAAAATTTTTTAACTTAAGATCTTTTGTACGGAAAAAATTAAATAGAGGATTAACCACTTTAAATAATTAGGGAATTATTATGGATGACATTGGGAGGATTATCTAAAAAGGAGTGGCAGCTTTGGTAACTTTTGAGTTTATTTCTTTTCTACACCATTCTTTATTTTTATTTTATTTTATTTAAGCTTTCTTAAATACATTTGAGCAATTGATGTGTATTCAGTGGACTTTAGAGAACGTTATGCTTACAAGTCAACGGCGTGTTACTTTTGTTTTATCTGCAATTAAAATAATTGAGTTATACAATTTTTATAAAGGTGGATAATAAATTAATTAAGTAAAGCATTTGAAAATCATAATAATGCCTTTGTTTATTTCTTTGTTTCAGCCCTATGGGTGACCCCTTACTCTATCACATTATTTTAAAAAAATTCAAAATAACAAATAACTTCTCTTTAAAACATGTAAATATTTAATTTAATAATTAATGCATAATTTTTTTTCCAAATAAAAAAGAAGAAAAACCCCTCTGAAAATTGAGTAAGGTTATACATAGTCAATAACATGCACTAATAGAAGCATGAGCTATGGTTTTTTTTGTTGTATTTAGGGTTAGTTTCCTGGTTAAAATCCAACTCTTTATTTTATTTCTTATTTTGTTTCTAAAAGAAAACAAGTAGAATAAACATGAGAAAAAACAATTGATCCAAACTTGTGTTTGACTTTTTTTTTTACTGTAAGTATGGCTCCTTGGAGTCTTTCATAACGTCATATCAAATGCATTGACCCAATTCGGGGTTTTCGACCTTGTTACCTTGTACTTAAGCCTGTCTAATCCATCATCTCTGACCCCTTAATAAAAATCAGGGATTCAACCACCCTCCCACTCAAATATGAATCTACCTCCCGAAGAAACAATGACGTCTTGAACAAAAATTTGTCATCAAGCATCGGTCTTCAATCTTCAACAATGTTGTGTAAATTTGGAGTTACGTTTTTGGCTAGTATTCCCAAGGTGAGACTGTTTTTCTCATGTCGGCCGAAAAAACAAACATATCATATATCAGTGAAATAGGATTGGTAGGTCAAGAAACATCAGGGCTACGAACTTGTAATTAATTATAAGTTTTTGACGAAGAAACGAATTGAAATAAAGGTGAGAAGTGGGCAGCGACTAACCAGTGTTGTGGTTCTCGTGGTAGGGCTCAACGGCCTAGTCAAAGCTTTAAGCGTGTGCTTGTCACTGTCCTATAACCGGGGATTGGCTGTCCCCATAGACAACAGCTTATTAGTTTTTTAATTAAATTTGTTAGGTTGGAAATTTCGACAATTAAAATTAAAAATTTAATATTTTATCAATAAATCATATGATTATTATAGTATTTTAGTTTGATAATCTATTTTCTTTTCCTTTGATTATTATATAAAGCTGAAGTTAAGCTATTAGTTATATGAAAAATTAATAGGTTCTCTCCTCTTTCAGCTTGATAAACAAATATTCCTTTGAATGTTTCCCATCCCTTCTAGAATCGTACGACGGATGGTCAATAGGAAAATATTGAGGAGGTGCTGCTGATTACTAAAAAGCTATGACCATTGACATGCCATTGTGCTTGTAACCAACGTTTGTGAAGTCGAAATAGGGAACCAGCAATTCTCCCAGCAGGCTACAGCTAATGAAAGAGATCTTGGTTGCAAAATCAAGAAATATATAACCCACTCAAGCAAGAGACAGACCTCGGTGGGTAAGTTATCCAACAAAATTCAATAGGTCGGTTCTATATTGTTACTACTTCACAACAAAGTAGAGCAATGGTCATCTTTAAACAAAATGGTAGGTAACCCAGTTTTACACAGCTAAAGGCGTCCCCCAAATATTCTCAAAAAATTTAGATTAATAGTAGATGAAGTTCAGAGTAAACTGTTCACCTACTGCTTCTTCACATTGGCAAATCATCACCCTGCAACATTTGCAATGATCTCTTGATAATATATATTGTGTGCATGAGAGACGATATATATATGTGGCTACAAATCTCGAAGCTCAATTTCAACAGATGTTATTGATATCTAATGAAATTATACATCCACATCAGGCACATGGGAGTATTAAGAGACATGAAGTGCACTACTTTGTGTCAATGAGACATTATTTTTAAGAATTAAATGCCATATCAGCTATAAGCAGGTTAAAGAATATTTTAGCCCGTCCATTTGCTCCAACAAGCCAGCAAAAGCTATATTCATTTAGGAAAGAAAAAAAAAAAACACACTATCAAACAAAGCTGGTAGTTCAGATTTCAGAATCAGATGTCTTCTTCAATAAGTTCATTCAATAGTTTAAACTACTTAGCTGTCTTCAGAATATCACTCCCTCATTCCTTTGCCAAGAACACCTCTTAATCATAAAATTTAATGCTATGTGTGCATGTCTAGAGAGAGTATTACATGACAGATAGATACCATGTTTTAAAACTCACTTTAAACCTATAAAAAAACTATATTTGAGCAATAAATCAACTCCTTGTCGAAGCCAAATTACAGCTTCACTAGTTGAATAGTCAAGAACAGTCACAAGCTTGGCAGTGTTACTGGCAGAGCCACATCAAGGTGACTGAGTCCAATTGATTCCCATAAGATATGGAGAACCAATAGGATTGTATTTATACACGAGTGGAAGATATGAATAGAAGAGTTCTACCTACCTTTTGTATGAAATAAACTACTCAGACTCATGATATGCCACGTGCTTAAGTACAGAGGTAAAGTTATTAAAGGAAGAAAATTTCAATTATTACTATAGATTAATGCTGGTTCGCAAAATCTTGCCAGGGCTTGGCAACAGATCCAACTGTTATATTTATGAGTTCTAAAACTAATTGCATCATGAATAGATTTCGTATAAACAGCAAAATCTTTCCCGGGAAACTCAACTTGATAGGTTGTAGTCATCATCGATATGATAGGAGAAACAAAGATAAGATCAAAAAGGTACCGAAGAAGGATTCAGAAAAAAAGATAGAAGCGCATAGAGCAAGCAAAGGGACATGTTTGAGAGTATGAGTCAAAACAAAGAAAGGAACAAAGTGATGCAAGTCTTATGCATAGAATGCAAGATAGTCTAAATTTAGAAAACGGAAACAGAAGAGAACTGATGGATGACAACACACAGCTCTGACTTTAACTTTAAAACAGAAGTATGAACAGGAAGTTAAAACGATTGAAAAAGACAGACAGAAATGCATCTCATTGTACACACCTAGGTGAAATGAGGATGAAGTTAACCAAATATTTACACCGCACAAACATATCAATGTAGTAAATGAATCAAGAGAGCTGAATTGGGATAACGTGGAAAGCCAATAACTTACATAAAATCCCCAATGGTTCAGCAAATCTTAAGCTCGTGTTACTAGGACACCTCCCACTGACATGAATAAAGTATGCAAGATTCAGCCAATGATGGGGCCATGATGATTGGTCCAATCTTAATCAGGGGCCCAAACCAAGCCTTACACCCCTGCCAAAAATAAAAAGACTGAACCTATTGAGTACTATTCACTTCAAATGCAACCACAGTACCACTCTTTGCTCCCAAAGTTATATCGTCACTTATGAGTAAGCATCCCTAGGAATTCAGTCAATAAGAACAAAAAGCACCCTGAAATCACACAAAAAAAACATTGTAGAACCAGAAGGCGATTATAAAGCCAAATGCAAATACCAATATCACTTCTTTACCAATTACCAGATATGCAGTTTCCCATCAAAGCCAGTAAGCATTTATGTGATTGTATATCCTGAAGTAACACGATACAAGTGCAATTTCAACAAAAAGTATTCAACAAACTAAAGAAGCCCCTAACAGTCTAAAAGCGTCAATAAGCAATCAAGTAGAGGTTGGGGGCTTGAAAGTGTAAGTCTGTGGAAGTGACAACGGACATCTCCTCCTTTCCCTATCACCAAGAAGCCTCTGCGTCCGCTTGGTCTTAGAATACTAACTATCAAAATGCTTCACCTACACACAACCCAAACCAAGAAAGAAAAAAAAGAAAAACAAATTCAACCCAAAATTTAAAAAAAAAAAAGGAAAAGAAACAAAATTTATGGCTAAATAACCAAGATTAGATAGTAATTAGATACCCAAGAAACGCGGCAATTCTTAAAGTACTCCTCCCAGTAACGTTTGCATTCATTGGGGTATAGGGGGAGCCCCACTGATCCCATTTCAGTGGGTTTCTTGTCCGATAGCTTTTCCAAGCAAGAATAGAATGCATCACGAGCCTTTTTTACCCAAAACCCAAATGAATAAAAATAACATTCAGATTAAATTCTAAAGGGTCTTTTTGCAATAATTTACAAAGATTACAGAGATGGGGATGAAGAGAGGGACCTTGTAGCAAGCTTGACTGGCATTCAAAAGCACGTCAGTGTGGATTTCAACTGATTCTCCGGCTGCATAAGCTTCAAGCGCCATGGCTTACTGTCTTTGCCCAAGAAAACAAGAAAATGCCTAATATTTTACTTTTCGTTCCTTGTTCTGGAGGCAAGACAAGCGGGCTCCATTAGGGTTTTAGTTTGGGCTTATTTGGACCATGGTTAAACTACGGGCTTATGTAGTACTAATTTGGGTGAACGGGCTGAAATTGTGTGATATTTGAATGGCCCATCAGTGCTTTATAGTAAAAAGATGTGAGTAATGGAATAAAGATTATCCTGTTTATCACAAAGAATAACTGGAATACGAGCCAATATTGAAATCTAAATCTAAATGTATTATGAATCTGATAAAAAAATTAAAAAATTCTTAGAAAGAATCTGTAGTTTTTATTACTTTCAGAAAAGGAAGGAACGATTTGGGAAAGAAAAGAAAAGGGGAAT